GGGGGGGGGGTTAGGATTAGAGCGTGAAGAAGCTGTTTGGCTGAATGCCCCATCAGGTCCTATGACCGTCTGAGAGAATCAACTCAATTGGCGTGACTTCTCAGAATAGAGGCTTCGAAAGATCTTATGATAATGAGTGTGCTAAAACAAAATGAAAACATTGCGCGAAAAAGGATGATGACATATCCCAAACTGTGGTCTTAACCCATCCGCTAGGATGCCTTGCGGCTTTTCCCACCGCGTTGTAAATGCTTCCCCAATATATTCAACGAGATCGCCTTCATGCACTCAGCGCCCGCACATATAATCCGCATGTACTCATAGTTCAAGGTAATTAAATCTTCCGGTCCCGTTATAATATCCTCTCGCCGTAGGGACTGTTGGTTGGTCATCTTCGCTCGTGCTGCACACTCAGCTTCGGAACCGAAAGCTCCCATTTGCAGAGTACTATTATGCGTGTTGCAAGTGGAGTTGTAGTGAAGATGACTAGAGCAGCTACTACAGATGGCATCTTGAAAATCTAACAATGAGATGCGGGCTCCTTTCTTTTCGCTATACGCTTGCAATCGTAGGTTACTGTCTATTCTGTATAGGCGATGAGAGCCTTTCTCTATCACAAAGGATGCAGCAATGGATGACGAAGCCCACGCTACTCAACCACATTGACAAGCATCTTAAGACTCCCAAAACCGTTTTCTTAAAAATAATTGTCAGTTCCAGTCACTTATGTTTGAAATGGAACCTGTAATTGATACAGTGCCGTATGAGTACGAGGCTCTGACAGAATCCGACGAGTCATTGAACTCTACCCGTCCCACGATAAAGAAGCGATGCGATCTTCTATGCACGACGCTCCAATTTCAAGCTCAAGAAGAAATCAACTGCTCTTACACGGCGCTGCCATATGTATGGGGCGATGCGACGGATACAACTCTTGTTCTTATAGGAGGGAAGGCTCTGTTCATTACTAAGAGCCTGGACTGTGCTTTGAAGCACTTAAGGGATAAGCGACAGATTGTATACATCTGGGTAGATGCTATTTGCATCAATCAAAACGAAATCGAGGCACAAAACCAGCAGGTTTAGCAGATAGGACAAATTTATCAGATGGCTGTCCACACCTTGATTTTCCTCGGACCTTGCAATAAAACGACTGAAAATTCGCTAAAACAAGCCCTGAGAAACTTCGATAAAGCTATCCTATTCGAAGCAGAGAATGAATTAAAGTCCGCGATCCAACAACTCTTAGACCAACCTTGGTTTAATCGCGTTTGGATCTTGCAAGAGCTAGTCCTCTCACGTGACCCTCATATTCAATATGGCTATTTGCGTCTTTCCTGGGACAAGTTCTTTGCATTTATGAGCTGGGTACTTGGAAGGCCACTGCTTGGGGCCTACCTTGTCGACATTGCAGCAGTGGAAGATGAGTCCAAGGACTTAGAAACTGTCAATAGCGTCTCTAAGGGATTTCCCGTCGACTCTAGAACCAGTGCGGACATATTTGGCGATGCGATGGCTGGGGAACCCCTAGACTTTAGTCGATGCCATACTTATTCTTCTATATCTAACGACGATGTTGACAAAGATTCCTTTGAAAGATCACTGTCTCCAGAAGAGTCAGGTGAGACACCTCACGAACACTCTTATTCTGAGGAATCCGATTACCCTATCTAGGAGGTTCAGTCGGCTGAGCTTCGTTCATATACTCGCTTTCACGAAGACTCATTCTCTTTCGAACGAGGTTTAACAATGCCTTCGGCAATGAATTCAATAAGGATTTCGTATCAAAGAGCAGCCGTTGAGGCAGGAAAACTTCGCCTCCATGATTCACACGCGCCAAATCAGCCTCCCAGTTACACTGATAATTTTTCTAACAGCGATGGTGGAGTCTTGACAAGTGGCGCGAAGAGGTTGGTAGAAATATGGCAAGAAATTGCTAAGATATTGGTGTCACGACGAGGGTTTGGGGTGACGGATCCCCGTGATATGGTCTTTGGTCACCCCAGTCTGCTAGCGCATAATGTCATTGAGGTGGACTATGGCCAAAGCGTTGCTGATGTCTATGAAAAGTTTGCTCGAGATCATATCAAAGCAAGTAGGGGGCTTGAAATCCTGAGCTATATCGACAATATAGATTTGGACGAACGAAGACTAGATCTTGCGTCTTGGGCCCCTGATTGGACATCCACTATAAGTAATCGTTCAATACTGATTACGGAAATGAATGGATCACAAGATTTCAGAGACTCGGAGCGCTGGCAGGGGCTCGATTGCATTTGGATGAAAGATCCAAGGGGATTCAGCTGTAGAGGTTATGTTAGAGGTTCCGTAGCCAAGCTTAGCTCAGCGGTAGATATCACAGACGACCAGCCGTCGAGCATCGTTGTTTCTCCGCATGCCAAGCATTGGCCAAAGATCCGAGTCCTGCTTTTCGTTCCGAAGGCGGGTGACAAAATAATCCGGGCACTTGTCGGGAGTACCAAGGACCACGGAATGCAACATCAAAAGATGAACTCTACCAATTTATCTTGGAGGAATGGGGGAAAATATCACAAGAGGAGATCATACATTAGTCCTACAAATGTCAGATAGATTGATAGAAATGGGTTCAGTACGGAGTACTGAATTTTGTTTTCTCGCTATCGCTTGCGACTTGTGACAAGTCATCCGCCTTCGTTTTCGCTAATCACGTGAGCTTCATAAATGTAGTCACCGCTTTATATTCTGCCATTAACTTAACTTAGCCTCTTGTGGTTTGCTGTGACGCACTTTCGGGACGTACAGCTCACATATGTATCTTGAAGAAATGTTGTCTGGTGTAGCTGTCCGCGCAGTGCGCCCGTCAGTACTACGTATATTGGGTGGATCCGTGGATACGCGGCCCCTCAAGTTAATGAGGGCGCGAATCTTCATCAGCACGAGCCGAACCAAGTGGAGGTGCGCGCACACGCTACAATTGTCAAGAGCTTGCAATGGCTTTTACCTCCCAGTAGTGCAGAGCATAATGAGATCAAGACTGTCCAGTAGAAGGAATTGCCATGCCTGTGAGTAGTTCGAATGTCGTTGGTTTTATATATTTGGTTCCTTCCCCAAATCTCTAAATCACGTGAACTTCGCAATATAGTCACCCGCTTTAGCTACTTGTGGTCTTAATTTGGCACCTCTGCACTTTTTGGGGCTCGGTTTACGTGGTGGATCATAGAAAATAAGAGCAAGGCACCTGAATAAGGTACGTAAGCTAAAATGGCCAGATTCCGGTACTATTACGAAATTAACGCGAGACTGACGCGAAGTTGACACGAAAACGATGCGTCGCCTCACCCCGCTCACCCCACTCACCCTCACTTCACCCCAAGATCACCCTTTACGGCTGCAAGCTACATATTCCCCCAAGTTTTATTAACAATTATTGGTAAAAAAACAAAAACATACAACAGCAGGTATTCGCTGGTGGTCACCCACCCAACTACTAATCTGCCGATCTGAGGCTTGTGTATGGCAGAGCGGACGGGATGCCCATTTCTCCTCAGTCTATGGTCGTATGTGCTTGGAATCTGCATATTCAATACTATAAGGGGCGAAAAGTAAGTTGTTTATTGACGGACTTTGGGAGATAGCGTAGCTCGACTCCGAAACGTCCGCTTACGGGTGGATTGACGGCCATAGAATCGGTCCTAAGTTTCTCAGCCACCTGACCGAGGAAGGCAGGGTTATTGGCATTCTTATAGAGCGCATCTCAGATTTTCGTTATGCAACACTGGCAGATTTCCCTTTATGTCAACGGACTTTGGCGGAATTACACCAATTTGGAATCCAGCACGGCGATACCAACAAGCATAATTTCTCATGCACGATGGGAAGGCAACATTGATTGATTTTGATGCTGCCATGCGGTGCGATAACCTCAAGCTTCTGGAAGACGAGTCTCGGATGGTCGAACAGGCGCTTTGCGATGGAAGAGGGGGAGTAGGAGTAGAATAGCCGAGGAGAGTCCACAATCAGAACTCAACAATACCTATGTGTCAGTCGCAACAGAGCTTATTGGATTTATTTTTCAATTTTATACGGTTTATATGCTCACTGATTACCAAGTTGCGTTCCATCAATGGGGCGGTTTTCGAGAGGTACAAGTGACTTGACCTAATAAATCAAAAGGCTCTTGCAATTTTCTGCTGGTTTCTCTACAAACGCCTCATGCTATCGCTTCTTGCGCTTGACAAACTTTCGTTGAATATCATCTCTTGTGAACTTCCGTGTTTTGATTTTCAATATATCCGCCAACTCTTGATTGCTCATCCCAATCTGGTCTCCAATTGGCACCAAACAACGAGCGAGATGTTCATAGTCCTTCTGCATAAGTTTGACGAACATCATCATATAGTCGATATTGTGAAACACGAGAGCTTTTCCATCCTCGTACTTGCTCTTCGTCTTGAGGAAGCTGAGCGGCTGATCACGCCAATGGCGAAGAGCATTAAGGTGATGCGCTGTATGCCATCCGTCATTGAAGCAGTGCCGATTACTCTGTGGGCACAGGAAGAAAACATTTTAGCCAATTAACCAAAAGAATAATGGACAGGGGATCCGTACAGCTACGTCGATCAAGGTGATGCTTGACCTGAAGTCAGAGTCTGGATCATTCTCGTCCACCAGCGCATGCTGGCTCCAATTCCCAGCCATCAATCCGATCCGCATCTGCACAAAAGGGATTATAAACACAAACAATGTTGGATAAAACCATTGTCTGACTAGTAAGTACATGCAGACATAGGAACCAACCTCGCAGGAAAAGAACTCGAAGGCCAAACGTAGCTTGTTCTTCCGGATGAAGTACAATGGAAGATCTATCCAGATAAAGAACATAAAACGACCCCAGTACATCAGAAAGTCGGCAAGTTCGTCGCGCTGATATCGTATTGTGGAGGATACGTCATCTGGACCGTTCCCCTCGACATGGTGGCATTTGATGTGGTGATAGTAATATGAGTGCCAAGTATGGCCCATGAGCGGTTCCAAGATATACGGAAACGACCTATCAAGCCACTTATATCCTTCAACCAAGACGCCATTGTTGTGGATGTGATTATGGAGCAGGAGGGTAAAGGGCCCGCAATAAAGCCCCTGCATAATCCAATGGCAGATAGCATGAGGCCACGAAAAGTAAGCGTAAAGGGTGATGGCGCTTGGGACCGACGTGGTAAGATAGAGGATGATGTGGGTCAGAAATACGACATCCGTCTCCCTACGCACTACTCCTCGTGCCCATCGTATGTATGGCTGGAGAATAAGTTTATTTACCGACTCCGGAAGGCGTTCAAAGTCCTCCTGATCCCAGCTTGTGAAAACAGTGGGCCGAAAGCTGCTGCTGCTTTCGTCGTTAAGCCCTTCTAAACGTGAAATCCCTTCACCAAGCTGTTTTGTGTGGCCTTCATCACCCGATTGCCCCGAGCCGAGGTCTCCGCTGGTGGGTTTTCTCGGGTTCTGAATATCCTGTAGCAGGAGGTCCAGCACCAGGCGATCGGGTTGCGTGAGAAAGGGGTCGATTGAGTGGGTTTCCATGGCGTTGTGTGACATCGTTGATGATCGCTGGATAACCCTCGATGAAGAGAGGGTCGCGGAAGGGTAACAGCTTTCAGATATTTGTTCACGGTGCTAAGCTTTTCGGGCGTGTTTTGGGGAGATTTCATTGCTACGTCGCAGTGTCATGAAAATAAGCAGTTACCTAATGCAATGGCAGGCTGGCAGGGCTCAAAATCCAAGGGGAAATTTCCTAGACCGAGACATATATTTCCTTCCTTCCCGCTTTCTCCACAATAATAATCTGCCTCGATGTATGTTGGATCCTACTTGTTCATTCCATTGGCCTAAGCAACAACAATGGAAGTTTCGAAGGCTAAAACGTTGACTGAGCTCCAGCCCAGGCCTAGAGCCGCTTTTAGGGCCCCAAGACCGCCAAGGCAACATCAAACTACTATCCTCGAGATATTTTCAACAATTGGGAGCAGTGTTATTCATCGCACAAAAACTATATGTGGTCGCCTGGAGCACACTGTCTTTCTTGCACTCTCCTTTCTCCCCAAGGCCTCCGCGCAACACAATACCGCCATTTTCCAACCCATCTACACCTCAACGCCAGAAATTGAGGCGTCGGTGGGAAATGCATCTGGATGGTTCTATATGAGCGCATGGAATGCGCGTGGAATGCTCATCCGTTCTGGGTCGGGCAACTTGGAGTGCCTGGGAAACCTGAGCTGGGCACTGGAGAATCTTGGTGAGCTCAATGCTGCGGAGTATAGTGGCGCAAATGGGGCTATGACTTTACTTCCAACAGTTGCGTCGCTCCTTGGTGCTTCAACTAGAGAGATGTGGGAGCTGTACAAGCTGATGCCGTTGGCGGCGGTTCTGACGATGTTTCTGAGTCTAGGCGGGACAGTCAATCCTAATGATGGGATGGCTCCCCCGTCCAAGGTTCGGGCCCAGTCAACGGGCAAGGTAAGAGTGAACGACAATGATGAAACTCAGGATGGAATGGAACAGGGGATGTTGTTGCACGACATGTCGGCGCCAAAGGTTGAGAATGAGACGGCCAGGAATTTTGCAGAAGAGGTCAGACTCCGAGCTGCAGGAGCTCTTAATGAAACGCGGCATTGGGTGATCTGGGTGGGGATTGTGATCCAAGCTATTGGGATAGCGGTAGTGTTGACGGTATTGTGGTTTGGGCAGCGTGGTGCCGTTATACCTTGGTGGTGTCGAGTAAGTAGTCATCTTCTCCATGATTATGTGAATATTAAGGAGGACTTATGCTAATGGCCCGTTCCTGAATAGTGTTGGGGCTGGATGTGGTTTTGGTACTTTCTAGTAGTAGCAACGTCCATGATACAAAATGCGGCCCTCTCTCCCTTTACCTACAGCTACACTATGCGTATATCGAAAGCACCAACCGATATCGGCTTCGACAGAAGAGGCGTTCAGTCGATCCGGCAATATGTTGAAGGAGGCAGGCAACTCAAAGATATTCTCAATGCAGGTCCGGAACCTGTTAGCATAACCGCGAATTCCGATTCATATTTCCGACCTGCGCAACAAGGTGCTTTATCCACATGTTTCTACGTCATTGTGTCACAAGCCAGGAAGGAAGCGTGGCATGAGCTTCTAGCGGTAGCTTCTAAAGCTTCTAGCGTGATTGTCTACGCCTTTGGCACCATGGTATTTTCATCAGCAGCATTGATGTCAATATCCGCGGCCTTGATGGTCCTTTCTCTGATTCTATGCAGTGCTGTGGTCGGTCGGGCAACAGCCATGTGGATGACCCGTGAGCTACACGAGAGCAACGGTCCGCCGATTCTACGATGTCAGGCAGATGGTCGTAATGGCCTCAACGACCTCGTCTTGGCAGTGCTAGACATAGAGGGTCTGGTCGTTGAGATGGGTGGCAACGTGTTCTTCAACGGCATACTTATCAAGAAACGAAGCACGTGGTTTTCCTGGTCTTCTTACATCGGGTTGTTAGCGAAGCCCTTTAATCTTGCGGAGTTTGTCTCCCAATAAGCATATACACTCAAGGGACTACCTTTTAATAATTTCGATTGCCGTAGATTTTTGTTTATGGTCATTTGTTTAAATGATAGTGATATCCGACTAATAAGTCAATCCAAACCCAAGGAATTGATCTGTGGATGTTGTATTTTCCCATCTCAATTCGGCTGGCACCCCGCCAATCCACATCAACCACATTGTCCCCAGCATTGTCTAGACTATTAGCAATCGGTCAACCTCTTCCGCTTCTAGTCTATGCTGACGACAACAGTTCTCTAGTAGTATATATATCCTTAACCTTTAGCTCGATCAAATAATAAGTTAAAGCTTTAAGATTTTATTAAAACTAGTTATAGAATATAATATTTCAAAGAAGTATTATAAGTATATTATGTAGCCTACTTAGTATTGAGCTACAATTAAAGTAAAAGTGATATATTTCATTTTATCGATAAAAGTGGGTCAGAAGCCACTGCGCGCTACACTTGTGCTACCACCTACCCCCTTTTATCCCGTGTCTTCCGCAGCTCCTGTACCATGATTGTTTATCCGTAATGTATTTCAATCCCCGTAAACATCATTTGGCACTGCATCCATTGTGCCATGCATGTTACGCCGCGGTTTCTCCACAAGAGATTTTCTAGTGTGTATGGCCCCAAACTTGCCAGTGCGAAGTAAATGATTGTTGCTGATTTATTGTAGTTCTTAGCAACCAAGATTCCACCACTGGGGATGCTTGTGTAGGACCTTTTCCCTTCTCTCCCCCCCCTCGGTATCTGGCCACCAATACGCGGGTATATACTCTGTCGAAAGCCTGGCTGCTCTGTTTGTGCGAGATCACCGGAGGCCTTCGCGGTACACAGTGATTGTCTATTGGTATTCTATAGAAGACACCTAGCGTTGCCCCGTCTTTGGGCAAGAGCAGCATGGAGTAACCCATGGCAGAAGGCATCTCCTGTTGGGTTCTCTACCGGCGATAGTTATACCTACCCTGCGAGATCCATGGAAGCAGCTACAAATCTTGGGATACGGATTAGCAAGCTACCTCTTGAGGTTGTTTCGATAATTACAAGTTTCTGTGGCGGTACTTCGTTCTGGAGATATGTTACAGTTTGGGGCCTGATCGATCAAATTCTCGCGGGTCTACCCAGTTCGAAGACGAAGTCGCCACTTGACCAAATACACCAGTGGAAGAGAGGCTCCCAAATTCAATACATAACTGACGAGCCTGAGTTACCTATAATTAGACTTGGTCTTGACTCAAGGGGGATCAAGAGAGTCGAACGCTTTGCTATAAGTGGTCATTTGGACGGCAGTTCTGAGGGATGTTTTGCATTCATTATAGCTGAGGGGGAGGTTCTACGTGATGTCATTGCAGATTTCAAGGTATACTACCCATTACGTTTAAGTTTTTGCTAAAATTTTCCAAGATGGTCTTTTGCGGCTTGAGTTGCCCAAAAGCCACACTGGCTTTCAAATCTGGGACACTCCTTGTCCTCCAACACTCAGCTTCTGCCAGTTCTATTTATTTCCGGGAGACTATTTCACCTCGATTGCGCACCATTAGAATTATAGATATTACAGGCCTTACGTTTTCTACAAAGGCGGATGTATCTATGGCATCTATGGTCACACATCTACCATGCTATCAGCACTATTTGAGTATCAAAAACTCCCAGAGAGTCTTCGGAGATTTATTGTTTGGATATATCTTCCTTTAAAAGAGGTTCGGGGGCTTGGACTCCTAGGATCTTCCGCTCTGGTGGTAAGCATCCTATCTCCCTCCTAATGCTACTCTAAATATCCAATTAGATTGAGTCCAACTCAGACACACATCTCATTGGCCAGTGCACGTCGAATTCGAGCAAGGGAGAGGTTTCGCGTGGGCTTCCTACGCTTCTACTATACAATGACCCAGATATTGGCACACCAATTTCGTCGATTGGGATAGGCAGTTATGTTACAAAAGACAAGTGGCTTATAGAGTGCTCTGTTGTGCAAATACCAGCTCGCCCATGCTCTGTGGACCAGGATGAAGTTTATTATTCCACGGCAACGCTTGACGATGTTAAAAGTGTGCGCGTCTTTTACGATCAGGACACTTGTTATTGCAAAGGAATCCTGTTGACATACTTCCATGGAACTCAGCAGACCCTAGGGCAATGCGGCCTGGATGTTTTTCGGGAGGAATTGGTTGACGCCCCAACAGCTTTATATCATCAATCAACGACTTCCCGCCGTCACCAGGGACTAAATATTATCTTCGCCTCAAAATCAACAAAAGTTGCAGATTGGACCGGGTGGTTGCGTATTGAAATGGTAGGCATACTCAAGTTGTGGTATAATTATCAGTCGGCAGTCCTTTTGGAGAACGAAACAAAATGACTACCATTATCAAGCACCAAGCAGGGGTAAATAACAATGTGACACTTGATGAAAGGCGAGCAGCGACAAGAGGCGCAGGAGTCCAGGGGCAGAGACAAGGGGAAGAATACAGAAGCCCAGGGCTGCCATGGTTTCGTTCTCCTTGTAGGAATGTATTATTCGCCAACGGTAAGTAGCAGCGATGGGTCGCAATTAATCACTCGCCGTCGATCGATTCAATCTCGCCCTGCCACATTACCATGTGCTATTCCGTATAAATGCAGTGTTAGGGATTCGTGTTGGTTGGGTTATGAGACGTAGCAAATACCAAGGCTCAACAAAGAATCACCATATATCGATACGGGGTAACAATTCATCTCAAGGTGAAGAGATACAATATATTCATCCTGCTGCCTTGCATAGACTATAGCACTAAAATTTATGACACAAGAGCATCACGCTTTGGACTTTGCATGTGAATATAAGAAGTGAGTGTGGGCACTTTCCTTACACATATATTCTTCTTTATACCTATCTCAATGCTATAACATCCTACAAAGTAGCTAGCTATTTGATACTTAGTAAATTTAGCCTTTAATTCAAAGTATAGGGTTAATTAATGCTTTCTAGTGAACTATTAACAACTGCTCTTGCCAGGCCCAAAAATCTCAACCTATTCACGTTTCGAAGCAGGCGAATTATGTATGTAATAGATAGAATTGCATTCTTAGAGCTTGCTAGTGCAGACTATATCTTCACGTCCATATTCCTGAGTCGCTATTTACACCATTTCTCATAGATCAGACCTAATCTTAAACTTATTACATTGGTACGTCCATTGCTATTAATGGCTGGGTCTTCGAAAATTTCACATCAGAGGTCCACTTCAGAAACTAGGTATCTGGGCTTCGGTGGGGCCTACATAATATCGACGGCCACCACGAAAGGGGGTCACTGCTGATGGGTCGTCCTGTAATGGCTACACCGGTTGTGAATCTTGTAACTGAGATACTGAAATATAAATATCCTGCTAGAAGTGTCAGATCTATCGCTGGTACCTGGGTTGGTGGTTCTTAGGAACCTATATATTGACTATGATGATACTAGTAGTAATGGCAATTTCTATTTAACGTCGTAACTGTCTATCGTGCTTATACGGACGGTGGATAGCTACACTAGCCGTGTGAATATGTGTTAATACTTTTGAGGGCTCAAAATAGTACAAAAAAATTGATTGTATTCAGTTAATACTGTAGAGTAAAATATTGGTAATCGGACACTGATTTTACTATCTTAGTACCAAGATCGGCCTAGTGAGGCTAGCCGCTCTTACTCAAGCGCTAATCACCGTCAGCTCACTCACCCAAGCTAAGCGGTGCACCAGGTCCCCGAGGAGTCCCTGAGTAATCCCTAAGTAGACCCTGAGCAGCCCCTGAGCAATATACGTTAGCTTAAGGCCTTATAATTCTATTTTTGTTAAGTCTTGCTGATTTTCCCTGGGAGCCCAAACAGGCTCCCAAGGATTAACCTTCTTTTGTCACCGCCTCATATCGCATTAGTCAGTCGTACTGCTTTTACTCAGGCGCTAATCACCCTTAGCCCTCCCTCTCCTTAACCCGCTTACTAAAGCAATATATGTAATTGAGCATTACGTTTGTCATGTTTTAACGTTGATTTTAAGAGTCTGAATAAGCTCCGTAAGATCTTAAATCAAATCTAAGAAACGCTATACTATCACCTTCTAGATTATGGATAATGTAAGTTAGTTAAATTATATTTGTAATAAGAAGAAACAACCAAAGAGAACTAATCGGGCTACTATATAATAAGTAATAAAGCACGGGATTTTATGTAAGCTAAGACCTTCCTTAGATGCATTTATAATATAGGGTATTATCTTCATAAACAGGCTTAAAATACCACCATCGATAGATATATTGCCGATCTCACCGTGGATCCTCTTACCTGTTTGCACCTGCGTCTTTCCCAGCCAGTCTTCTCTATTTTGGTTGTCTCACCTGTTTCCTCCAAGCTTAGTTAACTAGTTACGCAAGCTTAACCCCAGTTCCGTACCGATTTTCAAATGGCGCATCTGATGCTGCCTGAAGGCCCTGAGGTTTGCCCGTAGCGATATGGAGGTGACTCTGCGAGATTTGCTGGACAGAATCATCAGACATCTGTCCTAGGCACTGTAAGGATCTGTCTCCAGCAGTGATGCGCCTAGCGGTAATCAGGTCTCCAATTGTTGAGACGATCACCTGACGGCTATCGTCGGACATAGTGACATCTTCAAAGAGGTTGGTCCGCTCTTTGTTTGCTTGAGTAGAGGCGTCGGCACAGATGGCAAGACACTGTTTAATGCTATCCAGCTCCGCTTTTATCTGCTCCTTCTCAGCCGCCTGTTCATTCGGGGTTTCAGGAGAAGTTGAGTGGAGGTTTCGTAATCTATTGTCGATGTCTTGGAGATGGACTTCGAGCTGAGTGGTAGCGTTGGATATCTTCTCCTTGCATTCTTTGAAGGTATCAGCAGTAACGACTCGAGCCCAAGAAGGATTTTTCGACGAAGCATCAACGTTCTGAGAACCCGTAGCCGTTGAGATTTTCTCGAAGGAGTTAGGCTGAGCTTGGTCTATATGCGCTGAGACCTGGGCGCAGATACCGAGGCATTGTTGAGTGCTGTCCTTCTCCTCTTGAATGGCCCCTCGCTCAGCCGCCTGTTCATCGGAAATTGTCGTGCTTTGTAAAGAGAGGGATTGGAGTTTGTTGTCGATTTCTTGGAGGTGCTCTTCAAGATCAGAGGTCGTATTCGTGATTATGGCCTTATATTCCTCGAGGAACTGTGCGGTGACAACAGACAGCCGTCTGTGCGGTAGAATATTAGCTCTGCCCTTAAATACGCAAGCCCAACTTACATGTTCGCATCGCCTAGCGCAATGATGACCGTAGATTTATACCCCGCCAGCATGTTTTTGAACCCACTAATGTCATCGCCCATGTACCTTAGCTTCGCCCAATCCCTAAAACTTGTCCTGGATCCATTGGAATGCGCTGTGCATTTGACTATCACGGCTTCGAAGTCTTTGCACGCATTGCCACATCGGAAGAGAGGGAGGCTTAGCATTGTGAGACCTGGGTCGGTGTTGGTAGCCGTGTCCCGAAGGGCTTGTAAGACCGCATCCAAGGCTTCGAGTTCTTCTCTGAGCTCCCGCACAATCCTCTGGTTGCTCTGGAAACTTGCGACAGTCTGGTAGAGAACTTGGCTGGATTTCAAAGCGAACACGGCCAACGCCAGTACTCCAGAAGCAGTGCTTATCGGATCTGCCATTCTGATAATTGATAAAGGAAAGTTATACGATATCTAGACCAAAAATAACACATAGACGGAGAGTGACGAAGGATCTCCAGTTTGCCGGACAGCCAAAGTACTTAAATCATGATGCCTACTGCTAAGCGCCGTGCACAGGACTCGAAGCCTGGGCTGTCTCACGTCCGCAGCGGGCGGCTAATTTCCCGAATCGTGCGTGGGTTTGGGCAGATGATCTTCGCACATCGCGCGATATCCAACCAACATTATCACCATGCGGGCCCTGGCCTCTGCTGATTACTAAGTCGGGGGTTTGCAGCGGCTTCGTAGCCAATTGATTGCATGATAGGGCTGCGGCGTTGGGGGCCGGTCCGACCACGTGATGCCACACCACGATGGATAAAAGAAATGATAACGCCTGAGCTGGGTAACCTTATCACGGAGATAGAAGCAAATATGGAGGGCTCTCGGTTGCAAGGGAGCCAAAACAGTTTCTTTGAGGCCAAGATGGCCTCGTAGTGCATGCTGAGGCCATGGCTCAGGGCATACTCAAGTTACTAGGCCATGGCTCAGGAATGCTCACCCTTCGCTCAGGTTAAAGCGCGGTCGCTGCTCACGTCCAGAGATCCCTATATAACTTAACGAGATGTTGGATAAGGTATACTATTATGCTATACGGTACTATTTCCTATAGAGACTAATGATTAACTTGAAGCCAGCGCATATAAGGCGCACAACGTCAGAAGTCCCATTGATTACCCTGATCTTTAAGATTATCCTAGGGGGAGGTGGATGCGGTATTTGTAAGTAGCAAATAGTGCCTTGGGCACACTGACACTTTGCCATATACATGTTAATAATCTACCGGCTTTAATGCCATACTTGGCTGTGGAAACTGTGTCGGATGCTGCACGTTATAGTTCTTGTAATGAATACTAATCCGGGGCACTACAGTAACCTCTTCGCTCGATATAGTGGCCTTGACTCCAGCTAAGAGGAATGATAGTTCGTTGCACCGATCTGCCGGTACGGTGCCTATCGTGCCATTCTCGCCTAGGCTTCGCGGGATCAGCCGGATGATCAGAGTATTGTAGTTCTGCGAGAACGTGCAGATAGGGTTGAAACGTAGGTTCGAGAGCATGGATGCGCCGGGGCCGTCGTACAATGTGGTTAGCGGTCCTTGGGTGCCAACATCGGGTTCGTTGCTAGTACCGAGATGGCCACCGAGAGAAGTGGCCGAGAGGGTGTCTGGGCTATCGCCCACAGCTGGATTCCCCTGGGGGATTTCGATTTCGATATACTCCAGCAAGAACGATGGGTCGGGGCGTGTGGCTGCGGGTATGGTGATACTGAAGATCAGATCTTGCGCCATTGGCGCTTCCTTCATGTCGCGCAGCATCGGGATCGTGCCTGGGTTGCCCGGCGCACCCGGCGCCTCTGCCGACCAGAAGAAGAACTCGAAGGCCGGGAACAGTACACCGGGCCCGCCGCTAAGTGTTGAGGGGCGGTCGCTGATCCATCTCGGCGTCGGGTAATGGCGAGCGTACCGGCCCATCGGGTTCGGCGCTGCTTGCGGGACATAATGCTTGCGGGTGGGCCGATCTTCGAGACGAGGGAATTTGTCCAAATATCGATGCCCGTGCTTCTGCGATGGAGGTGGAGGGGGAAGCGGCGGGGCAACACGTCTGTGTACAGGGAGGGCCCGAGGATGGCGGGTGACTGGCGGAGGCTTGAAGCCTGGCGGCGCAGTGATGGGGAGGAGATACGATAGATTCGACAGCTGCCAGGCCATGAGGGCAGAGCTGGGCGTTTCGTCGGAGTAGTAGCCGGGTGGCATCTTGAGATTGAGCTGGGCATTGTAGTCCGGCGCGAAGTTGTCCATCAGAAACATGCGGAGGTCGACGGTAGACTGCGAGACGGGATCAGTCACATTCCAGAGGTACATTACACTCCTATCTTTGGGGACCTCTCCCCTTTTCCACGTGACCTCCTCGATGGGCTTGCTGTAGTCAGGATCCGCAGGGTCCTTCACCGTGTACGCTCGACGGTAGGCCATTGTCAGATCCGAGCCGGTTACTTTCTCTCCCACGACAAAGGACTGCTGCTGGGGAGGTTGGGTGAAGGTGAGGCTTGTAAAAGTGGATGCTGATGGCGGCTGCGAGAACAGGCAGAGCATGGTGCCTTTGTCAATAACTTCATGTCGAAGCAGGATCGGTGCAGCATCATCGGTAGGCGCTGGCTCGACCTTTACAATCATGTCCGGAAACTTGCTGATCAGGGCGGACCGAATCAAGCACCCGTATCTTGGGATGGGCGGAAAGTAGGCGTGGACGGAGGTTGGAGAGTGGAGGTACCAGTTGATTGCCCCTTTGATGGCGTCGCGAACTTTGTCGCCCTCCTGATCAATGTGATTCCCGAGGCTAAGAGCACCGTCGAGGAAGCAGTTCACCCAGTTGTCATCTATCATGAAGAGCCTCAGACTCTCCTGGGGTAGGCTGCTAGCATCTGGCAAGAGATAGTGTGCAGGAATGCTGTCGAGGAAGAGCCTATCGAGAACCCAGCGCAGAACTACGACCCAGTCCACCGAGAATGGGGCATTGTATTCATCATACGGCTTGTCTGAGGGCTGGGTGGGATTTGTGGGATCCGGCGTACTGGCCACGTCCCGCGCAGCCTGGTTGAAGTCGGGGTCGACGAGGGCATCAACGATCGGTCCATGGTACGAGAGGTCAAGAGGCTCTGCCAACTTCCGGTCCCATCTTCGGCGGATCGAACCATTCTCACGCAGGCCATCCGCGCCTGGCAGGAGGCTCAGACGGTTCACAGAGTGTCTGAGGTCCGCGAGAAGTGCTTCTTGGCCCTTATGCCAAGTGTACCGACTAACGTACCTGTCTCTGGTGGCATCAGTCGCCAGTTGAATAATTTGGACGCGCACAGAATAGAGACTGGTGGTAAAGGACTGGTCTGCGATCGCCATGGTCCGCCCGAGCTGCCACGCGGCCGCGTATGAGATGTCCATCAGGCCGAGCTCTCGGTCCAGAATGCTCAAGTCCGAGCCAACCATGGAGGTTTTGGGAAACCAGTCTGGGAGAGTGTACTCTGCCACCGGGGTAAACGGTCCTCGCACGAGGCACGAGGTCATGTCCCCGGATTGGACCCTATATCGGGACATGGCATAGCCCTGCTCTAGCCTCTGTAGTAGACGTGGCCCAATAGGCGGGTTATTGTTCAGCTTTTCTTCGGCGCCCTCGGAGAGGGCTGGCCGGAGTGGAGCCAAGGTCTTGCCCAGCTGGACGAGCTCATCCCTAACATTAGGCGTGTCTGGCGGGAGACAGATATAGCTCCAGCTGGCGAGGGAAACGAGCGCCACAAATCTCGTATCCGCCTGGAGGGGCCAGCCATCCATCTGCTCGACCCCCTCGATGGAAACTAAATGGACGTAAACTGGAGTTGGCGCGGTGATGTTGGGAGGTACAGGTGCAGAGCGGCAGGAGACAACCGCGCCGAAGGATCCAGTGTCGTTGACGCTCGTGGCTCCCGAGACAGCCATGCCCTCGGTGTTGATAATCTCTTTATGGGCTAGGAAGCGGTGGTAGTATACATACGGCGTTGAAGCCGGTTCGACAACTCCCTCGCTATTGTACTCGGAGAAGAGGGCGGCAAAGAGCTCCCGCTTTAGCAGGACAGTGGTTGCCACAGTCGAGTCCTCGGCCACGCTGGTGTAAGGGTTGACCGTGGACACAATATTGGAGAGTTCTTTAACGGGGACGCTCACGGCGAAGGTAGAGTCCTGTTTTGCACCGTCTTTAAGAGATGGGATATCTCTGAAGATGCTATCCGCGCCATTTAGGTCCGCCTCAGCGAGCTTGAGTTCGTCCTCAGTGAAGACGAACACAGCGAGCCACGGCGTCCTATTCCTAGAATAGTCACTAGGAGGCGATTTTTCGGCATCCCAGCTTCCCACCCTCTCCCATGGGAATGTCGGTTCATTGAAAAATACATGAGGCAACGTCTCGGCGGTTGCAGCAAACCCCTGGGGCGGATATGTCGTGTGGATGGCGTCCTCAGGTAGAGAGAAGCGTGGAGCGACAACGTCGAACTTCTGGGTCGTCAAGAGGGTCGTGCTCTGGTGGTCTCCCGAGACGGGCTGCTGCACTTCGATGGTATGCGGCCCAGCTTGCATGCCAGGAATGTCGAAGGAGCGAAGGCGCTCTTGGCCAGGCTCAAGAGCCTCGTCTGGCGGATCCGCGACATTCTTCTTGATAGCACGCTGCGCGTGTCGGAATACGAGATAACGAGGTGACTGGAACATGGATACCGAAGGCATTGCAGCCAAGGGGGAACGCTTATTACCTCGGTTTGGTTAAGGTGAGGATTAAATGAAGGCGAGGGGTGGACAAGCTGTGATGTGCTTGGATTGCGAGCATCATATCCCACCTTATGAGCGTGGTGGGCTCGTAGAGGGAGCTGGACTGTCAAAAGACCAGTCTTGCTGTTGAGAAGGTGGCTTGCTAATGAGGCCACCAGTACCTCAGATGTGTGACGACACAGAGACGAAATTTGACCGAGGGCAGCGAAAAGTCCGAAAGCGGTGTTTCCCATTCCCATTCCCATGCGGTAATATATTGATCATGAGCGACGGGAACCTTGGGGAGACTTGGGGAGACCTATGTCATCAGTGTATGTGTGACGGACCGAGTCCTTTGCGTCCAGTGAACCGTTGGCACTTGAAGTATCGCTGATGAGCTCAATACCTACCTAGAGTATAGAATGTACCAGCTTTGCACACGGGAATTCCAAATCCACTCGAGATTCACGTCGTTCTCAGATCTCCTTGAGCCATGGCAGACTCCAATGTCTCAATTCCCATGAAGCTGGACGCCTTCGTCTTTAACCAGGACGTCTGTGATGGCGATAGTCTGGACTCTAAGATTGCGCCCATCACACAGCCCAATTACACATTCCTGCGAGTCGGGAATCAGGATTACCTCCTGCAAAATGACCTTGTCGACCTCGTTGATCTGGCAAACGCGACGCCATATCAGCGGAATGCTCGCCTTATGAACCTCGGGAGTGGTGAGATGCGCGAGAGCCGCCTGGGCGTCTACCTGCACTGGATCCTCCCTCGACCATACCGCACAGGCGCTGCAGCAACACCCCAAGGGGCGCCAAGAAGCGCTTTGGCGGCCGATGCTGCCGATCCCACAGCTCCGCAGTTCAGGAATCCCCCCACGAGATGGCTGATCATTCGGAAGTTGGACCTGAGCACGATCAAGCCCGCTGGTGCCGATATCAAGCCCGTGGAGGGATGGGTTGTCGAGAGCGACAGAGTGCGGGCCTTGGGCGACCTCACAGACTCGGTTGATCTTCAGGTAGACATCTCGCCTTACATCCTCTCCACGAAGGGCAACGCCACGGACCCGGCAAATATAGATATCGGAAAGCAAGCAGAGATCTTCGTCGGCTATAAAGCAGACGCAGCGACGTGGAAGGAGCCCGGAGACGCCGAGACCCGGGTTAACCTTAATCTGCTAAACAGCTCGAACCAGCTATTCCCTGATTACCAGCCTCACAATAGCAACGTCTTTTCCGTGACTGACACATTCAGCTACGTCGACGCGGATGGCAACCCCACGTCGCTCACGGATGCGGCCGCTGACTACTATGTTATGGGCTGGCACGAGAGTAGTGCCGACGACCCGTTTACTCTCAACGGTGACACCAGATCCAGTCGGCTGAGCGAGTTGAACATGACATTGAACGATATGCCAGCACTGGACGACTGGCTGAGCTCGTCGACCAATACCAGGGTAATCTGCCACGGAGCCATGTACGGGGTCGAGTGGCATCGTCGGTGGGATGCAGACGGTGAGCCAAACAGGCCGAAAAAGGTCCTGGCCGATATCTTCACCAAAGACCTCATCGAAAAGATGCCGATTGCAGTGGGTACAACAGCCATGGACACTGTCCTGGCCTATATCCACGCCCACCACGAGGACGAGCTCGAGAGCGACATCAACCGCATCTCTACCCTCCTCCGAGCGCAGAGTGATAGTGTGACCGATCAACAGGCGGGTGAGGACGAGGTGCAAAACTACAACTTCTCTACCGTTGGCGGTGGTGCCCACTTTGTCATGCCGATCGAGGATGACCGGCCAGCGCAGCCACCGACGGAGAAGGACCAGAAGAACTTGAAGCTACTTAACCAGGCGCAGGCACTGGTGGACTCGACAGGGCGTGCACTCGAGAGAACGCAGTGGGACATTTTCTCCCTCTGGTGGAAGTACGAGACAGATGTCGACAACAAGCTTCCTGAAGTGATGGAGAAATACAAAGTAAGGGCAGATTTGCTGACGGCCGAGTACAAAGCGCTCGTGACGCTCCTGGGAGAACAGCAGGCTACCGTCCAGGATATCATAGACCAGAGACTATCGCAGAAACCAAAGATGGCCACCCTAAGAGAGTATGCACAGGCTAGAGATCCGAGCGTGGTTGTTGCCGGGGCCAAGCCTGGCTGGCCGGAAGACTTCCTTGATAATCTGATCTGTCGCCTCGACTACCAGATCGACACCTTCTACAGCCCATCGGTGCCCGCCTTTGATGAATTCTTCATCGAATGCGTACCCCTCCAGTTGCAAAAGACGGCGCTCGCGCTCGCCCAAGAATTCGTACAGTATACGCCAGCCAGACCCGCCGAGGAGACCGAGGTGGCGAGGCTCGATTATGAGACCTTCCCTCCTCTCTACCACGACCGCGGCAACCCTTCGGTCGAGCCGCCGCTGGACGCCCCCTGGCGGGACCGCTGGGAGAGCACGCAGCCCTGGTTCCCGCTGTACGTGGAGTGGGAAGCCGAGTTCTTCGACGTCGAATATGACAAGTGGGCGTTGGAGTACACCACGTCGCGCATGGAGAGCCAGCCCAAGTTCCACCATGCCATCGCGCCGGGGTCCCAGCCGCTATGGGAGGACAAGGATGTCGTGCAAGACACAAGAACGCTATCCGGCCGGACCCTCATCCTCCCCCAGGCCACCTTTAATCTAAAGGCCCAGATCGACCAGCTCTTCAGCAGTACCCCCCCTGAGGTGCTGGACCAGTACCTAAGCCCCAAGGAGAGAGCAAAGCTTCAGGCGAATGTGTCGACGATGGCGCTGCTGTCGTTGCCAATGGGCGGGTTCATCAACCAACTCACCACGACTATGGAGGGGAACCACCTCAAACCGAACATCCGGGTGCCCGGGGAGGCCCCAATCCCTATGAAAGGAGCGTACCTTGATAGCGAGGTAGTCAATCTTGGCTGGGAGCAGATCAAGGCCATCGGCATCGAGTCCGATCTCACCCCATACGGCAGCCTCGTGCCCCTCCCCGACACCAGCTTCGCAGCCTTCAAGCCCGCCACGCATGGGCAGTTCCGCTTCACGAAGCTCACCATCGTTGATAAGTTTGGCCAGTGCGCGCCGGCCATCGACCCGCACCCGCGCCGGACCGGCCCACCGCCGCTCTACCCGTGCCTAAGCGACCTCTTGGCGCCCCAGAACTTCGACGGCGGTTACGCCAACGTCGCTATCAAGCCCGAAAGCACGTCCGTCTGCGAGTTCGCCCAGGTGCCGCCGCAGATCAACCAGCCCAGCAGGCTCAACGCCAAATTTGTTGTACGGGACGAGGATGCCTCCGACCCCGCGTACTGGCGTCCGGCGCGCGAGTGGGAGAATCCGATCTGGGGGTGGGTGGTAGTCAACTACGTGGACAACGGCGTCCAGTTCTTCCTCAAGGACGGTAGCTTCTACCGCGAGGCCCGGGCAGCATCCCGAGAGAACCCGTTCCCCGTCGCAGCAACGGCGCGCTGGACGCCCTTCGGCCGTGGCTCCAGCTCACCGGACACAGATCAGATCGACCGGCTGATCAACCAGTTCACCGACAGCAAGGAAGGGCAGCAGTTCCTCGAGGACTTCATCGCCATGATCACGGCGTCTGTCGACCACGCGGTGCCCGCGACGGCGGCGTACGGCCCTTTTTTGACGGCACTAGTGGGCAAGCCGCTCGCTCTAGTAAACGCGGCCTATAGCCTGGAGCTTTCAGCAGATGCTAGGGCCAACGAGTCGACTCTCAAGAGCCAGGACGGACTACACACCAAGTACCACCTACTCCGAGACCCATCTGACACAGGTTCGGACGTCTACAACTTCGCCCTCAAGCTTGGCGACGCCGCCCGCCTTCACGATGGCCTGGTGGGCTACTTCCAGGCCAGTTCCAAGCCGTGGGAGTGCCCTCCCGGCGGCGAGCTAAACCTCGACACGCTGTACACGAACTATACCGATGTATCCTCCAAGTCGCGCTTTGAGCCGATTGATACGTCAACGTTCCCAACCCTCGAGGCCTACTACCTCTCCCCGTCCTCGTTCGCTGAGTACGAGGACCCCGGCGCGGCATTTGCAGCGGCGACCCACGCGCGCTTCAACCCGGCCGTCTTCGGGTGTATCGTCGATCCGTTCGTGCCGTTGCATGCGTATACGGGTGGCGGGATCGCGCCAGTGGCCGGTTTGGCGCTGCCGGACTGGACCTGGCGAGGCGCACTTGATCAGATGACCGCCTTCTTCCACGTAGGCCCGTTGCTAGTGACGGGAGACACCCCCGGTTTCGACGTGGAGCATGCACTCCCAGCAAACTACGGCGGGAAACTGGAGGAGCTGACCTTCCCAGGAAGCGCCCTAGAGCTGCCGAGCCTTAGAGCCGCGGAATGGAGGTGGCTGCAGGGCTATCGCGTCGATGACCCGGGGCAAGTGGGTAGTCCCGGCGAGGCAGAGGAGGGTGGCGAAGATGACGGACTGCAGAAGTTCATGGCGCTGGGGCTTGGGAAGCTAGATGCGACGCCCAGGTTCCAGCCAGGGCCATACACGGCGATCGAGGGATACCTGCAAATGGCAAAGCCTATCCAGACTAGCCAGTCGCAGAAGGGCGGCACGTGAGTAGTAGGAGTGTATGACTACATTATGTTCAAGGTAGGAGATTGGCCGATGGGGTGGTGGTACTAATTAGGAAGCAAGTACTATAGTATGTATACATTTTAATAGTTACATGGTCGGATAGGAGGATTCGAGAACATTACATAATAATCTTAGTAAAAATATAATTATCTACGTAAGAATGTAACGGTGAGCGTTTCTACAACACCGGCGTTCCGGCATATAGAATAGAAAATAGACAACTTATATAGACGCGCCGAGTATATTCCCTCAAGTATCAAGGCTTGTTGATAAATTTCGGAACCGAGGTCGGACCGGCGCTACTAAACTCTCCTCTAATTCGATTAGCTGTGGCTTTTAAGCGGCGGGACAAACTCGTTGGTTACGTCCGTGTTGACATCGAGGGAAAACATAGATTCGTTGAGGGGCGCTTTGATCTCTTTCTTGTCGCAGACAGGATCTTGGCACTAGACAGTTTCCGTCTTATATCAACAGGAAAACCAATCAATGTACTCTCGAGGCTTAGCTAGCTAGAGGAAAGGATCTCCGAGGACAAAGAAATCTTCCTACACGACGCGCCCTATATCTTCGCCCATGACGTGTTGCGCCTACCGTTTTCTAAGTTCTTGACATGTTACATTCAAGGAGTTAGATATGGCCATCTGCAGCTTCTAACTGCTATCGGTGCTACAGCCTCCCAGCCCACTAACACTACCCGGAAGTAAGTTTTCAATTTGATTCGTCTCGATTCCCCCGCGACTATCAACTAGTCTGCATGGGTTTCTCGGGAATCATGTCGGGACGCACAGTGCCGTGGCGTAGGTTCACTTCTACGCACTACTCCCTTTAGCACGATCGTTCCGGCCCATGCCACTATGCATAAGTGGCTTTCCTACTACTTAACCGTAGTATTCACGAAATTTCTAAACTTAGTCCCCGTCGCTCTAGCTAGCATCGCGGGGTTCCCAACCTCTACCATTTCTCCCGTGTCTATTACAACAACCCGATATAAGTCATTTGATTAGAGATTGGCCAATTTAATTACTTCCATTCCCTGCTTATTTGTGATAAATCAATGACCATCTCTTTTATAACTCAATTTGGTCTTAAATATCCAATAAGAATATAACAATACCTAAAAGCCTATCTCCGAAACTAATGAGTGTGCACAAAAAAACACCGGGGAAAGCAGAGTTGGAGTGGAGTCAAACGGCAAGAGTCATTAAGATTACTGTTATTATATTATTAAATAAATAAATAATATTATGACTTTTTACGAATAAAATTTTAACCTCCTATTCTTGCTTAAAAATAACGCATTCCGTCTTGTCGCTCAACGCTACCCCCAGCTTCACTCTGTTCTTTGAGCTTGGCAATATAATCCTCCGACTCCAAATCAGCGTCGTTCGACAGTCGTGCTTTAAACGGGTCTTGGACATCCGTGTACTCTGTATCCGTGCTCCGTATATAGAATATGTGGTTCACACCGAGGTCGATGTCTGGAATCACTGTGAGACCAGATGACGCGCTTGCCCTCTGTGCATTCTGCACCTTCTGTGGAGCACCCCATAGTCCCGACGAGTTTGTACCAGTATAGACCACACGGTACAAGTCCATCTGATTGTCTACATAGTACAGATAGACCTCAATGGTGCCATCATCCATGCTGACAATGGATGTCGCAAGAGGCGTGCCAGTCTGGGCGTTGTTCGTAGTGTCTATCGGATTCTCTATCAGGGCAAGCTTAGCGGCTGTAGCTCTCGTCACAACTAAAGAGAGCGGGGTTGGCCATACCTCTCTTCCCATCCGACCATGCATAGTACAACGTTGGATCGCTGTATCCTTGGAACATGATCATCCGAGTGTTGCTCTTCGAATGGAGAACCACTGCAAGGTTGGAGCTTGGGTCTGGCTCCAGTCTGTCATAGACATATCTATTGCGCGAATTGGACAAGCTGAACTCATACTCAGTGATACGTGGTCGCTGCTGTTCCCCTACAGGATCCCTGGAAGTGAGTTAGTCGTGGGGCTGGTTCTTCGAAGGGAGATTATAGGTAGCCTCTTACTGCAAGAAGTAGACCCAGTCATACTTAAAACCATCGCCAGCCGCCGCAAGGGCATTGTAGGCGCCTGGATCAGCTTTGCTGTTTTTCGTGGCATCGATAGGGTTGTAAACCGGGCTAAGGCTCGACACAGTCGCAAGAGTCTTATCACCCTGAAAGTAAGTAGTGATGCCATACACGGTAACCTGATATAACATCGTTAGCAGCCCACTACCTCTATACATCGCAGCACGGAGGTTTACTGTTCTTTGATGAATGGTAGAAGCAAGCTTGGTGGCCGGTCGAATGACGCCTGTCACACAGCCTTGGTCGACGTAAGTACTGTAGTTGCTCGTGTCTAGGTTTCTCATCTCAACGCCTAACTGCTTCGCGCGCGTGCATGTCCACAGGAGCGCTTCGCGCTTGTACAAGGGATTCACAATGGCCGCTACACCGGACATGATAACGATGTTTAGCAATAGGAAGACTTTGTAAATTGTGATGGTGAACTCAATGCAGAGGAGCATAGATTATAGTGCAAGAAATAGGACTGATGTAAGGAAGTTAGGGCTGAGAAGGTGAAGGGACACATAGTCGACAATACGATTGACTAAATAGAATTGTAGGACACTTCTCATCAAGTACAAGCCATGCACTAGCCATCTTCTCTCCGGGATATAGCAAAGTCCTCTCGATAGCTCGAAAGTAGTCGCATTTCTCGAACCGCTAGGCTAACCCGTAGATATTTTCCAACGGTGACGTGACAGGAATTTTCACCCCGCAGAGAGATGTAGCCGTGTCCAATTAGTTGCGGAAACATCCGTGAAGTTACGAAAGAAGAGAAGCTGGTAAAGCAGAATCTGCCCACCTCGGGAAATGGCCTGCTTCTCAACTATACAGCAGTCATGTTGCTATGCGTCTCGACTATCTATCCCGTTACCCTCTGAGTTAGAGTTCACTGTTCACCCAAGTCTCGTTCCTATATCTCGCTCTTGAAGAGTCTAGACCACAGTGCGAGTTTCCCGTTTTCGTGGCGCACTTGTGGCGGCTCCAAGCTACGTGTGTAGTTCAACCAGTATGGAAATGGGTTTCGTCAGTGCAGAAATCGCCTCGCCTTGCCTAACTCTGCTAGTAGACAAAGTTGAGAAACCACTCTAGGATAAAAATATAATAGTCCTAGAAACAGAAGTAGAGGAAGGAGTTGATGGTATTATATACTTCGCGTATGCTTAAGAATACTTTATAATTTATAAATAATATTACATAAAACTTCCGCTTTAAGATTAGGATTGTAAGTTCTACGCCTGTACGTGGTATGGCCAGGTACGCCAAGCCTTTATCACGTGCTACCCTCCCCACCCCTTTATTTAACGAGGCCTGATTTAAGTTCGACACGTGCACTAAAACTAAACTCTATTTGAACTGCAACCGGCTCCCAACCGCAAGCTCAGCAACCCAGAGCTTCACGTCATGATCTTGCATTTTCTCTATGAGCCGTACATGGACTGTAGCCGGGCCTGTATTTGCTTAAGAAAATGGAGCCGAATGTAATTATACGAGTGAGTAACGCCAGGCGGTGGCAAAAGACTTGTTTCAGCTTGGGAAGCGTCACCTGGCAAAATATCCAAGTCAATGTAGGCGCAGCGTGCCGTCGTCAGGATTCGCAAGTTCAAGTTTGTTTCGTATTGACTAGTCCCTCACTCGCCCTTCCCATTGTTTATTAAGCTAGGATATCTGCGATCATTAATGTTGGCTGTTCCCGCTATCCAGCACGCACGGGAACTGACTTGACCGAAGAACACTTCAATTCTAACCCCAAATCTCTACAGTACCAGACAGGGTTCAAATGAGTGTTACTTGTTCGACTTCTGTCTACCGAACAACATCTCGGCTTAAGTGACCCCTAGGCTAGGACTTCCATTTACTAGCATGGCTTCTGCTTGGCTCGTCGAATCGCACCATGCCCAAGTCAGGACCGGTGATTGTGGGATTCATGTGCTTCTACAAGGTAAAGTGGTGAAGGGTGTGGTGCTTATTGACGGCGGCACCAAGTCGACCTCAGACAAGCAAGCAAAGAATGTAGTTACCGCAATGATCGAGAAGATGCTGGCGGTATACAACTTGGCTACCAAGGCATTCAAGTTTGACACTATAGTCATGAGCCATTGGGACGAGGACCACTATGGCGCGCTAGTCGACAAGATCAAGAAAGACATGATTGCGGCCATAGAGAAGAAGATGGATCCGGCGGACGCACTACTTTACCTACGGTGGGACAAGAAGAAACCGTCAACCTATTTCTACTGCCCGAACGAGGACTCAGTGTTCTCGCGGAATGGGAATTCGAAATCCCTCAACGGACTCCCCGCAAGCTTCCGTAGGGGAAAGAAAACGAAGCTCAAAGACAATAGTATGTATATCGAGGTATGCATAGCTAAAGACGCGAGCACGGCCCCAGACGCGGACTGGTACCCTTTTGCTATCCTGAAGTCGGCGCAAAACCTTAAAAACCTTTACGACGTCCTGGGCGTAAATTTCTTTACAAATAAGGGGACGAAGCCCTCAAAAGACTACACGCCTGCCAAGCTCGTGGAGGACAACAAGCCGCAGGAGACGGGCGCGCCAGGGATATACTGCATTGGTGTGAAGAACAATACTTTTGGTGACAGCAGCTCTGAAGACCCTGTCGGGGCTCCCGAGATCGTGCCCGAAGGGGTCACCAAAACCAACCAGTTCTCCATCGCAGCTGTCATTCTCTGGCCAGCCATAAACCCGAAGGATCCCCCTAAATGCACACATTACTTTGCGGGTGACGCAGATGAGAAGCGCGAGGCCATGTATCAGGGATGGCTTCGAGAAGGCGGCGTTACCAAAATGACCAACATGAAGCTCAGCCATCACGGCTCGCGGTCATCGACGCCGGCAGACGCCGTCACCTTCCTCCCACTAAATATTGTTATGTCCAACCCGACAGGCTCCTATTTCCACCCAGGTAAGGCATGCTTTTGATCTACACACATCTTTACCCTGCGTCTTCCTGAGCGCCCGCGCAAGTGAGGTCGGGAGCTGGGCTGATCTTTGGTCCTCAGGCTGGGAGACGATTCTTTTCTTGTCTGCGTGGACAAGGTATGGCCAGGACAATGCACAGCGTACTGTGCCTCAGATATTTGCGACAAGGTATCCCTTCTATTTCGACATAGACACATCGGGCGAGTACACGATACTCCCCAGCAAACTTCTTAACACTAAGGCCTTTGACAATAAGAAACACGGCAAGGCACTTCAGAAGTTTCTAGAGACCGTCTATACTGAATGCAGCGGGTGGGCCGACCACTATAAGGCCGGCAAGAATGAAATACAGGAGTATAACGCTGGAAAGGACGCGGATACGAAGCGCCTGACCCTGATCACCATGCTCAACTCGAGATGGGACAAATTCTGCTGGCCCCCATCCTCACTCTATCCTCCATCACCCTCGACGGGAAAGGCAAAGAAGAATCCAACCGCGTCGACGCCTCAGTGCATTACACTTCGTTCCTCCGGCACTGATGACATGGAGGATGGCGCCGCTAGCTACATGGTGTTTGACCAGAACACCCGCTTCCCGTGTCAGAGGAAAGACCCCAAAAACGGGAAGAATAGCACCTCGGCGAACAGGAAGCGCAAGGGTACGAACGGGCTCAACATAGATATCGCCAACCTTCCGGGGTGGCTTGGGGCAGCCACAAAGAGGCGTAAGAAGAACTTGGACTTTGGGAAAGCCGCTAGAGACGGAGACGGCGACGATGAATTGGATATTGCCCTCATTCCCCAGCCCATGGCCCAGGCGTATGACGCCTACGCGCAGCTCGGGACCAACATCAATGAAGAGGACCACGATGATTGGCCTGTTGACGAGGATATATCGCTGGCCATGAGATTCTTGCGCGGCTCCGCAAAGGAGTCGGGACCAGACGGTTCAGCAACAACGGCCGACGACGATGGGTGGTATATATATTCTAACAACATCCCAGAGGCTGCCATCCACGCTGTCACCACCAGATTCTCGTCCATCCCAGCCGACGCCGACTGGGACTGGTTTGTGTCAACGCTACACTGCGCCGTGATCAGCCTGGTTGGCGATCCGCTGCAGGACCCCTTAGCCCCGACTATCCAGCTGAGCGTGGATGACGAGCTTGTGAACTGGTTTCAAGATGTCCTTAATGCATCGAATGTCACCATGATCAAGAACCCCCAGCCGGCTCCGAACAGCACCATTATTGGCGGCTTTGCCGTTTCAGTGCAGCTGCTCCCACTTAGCGGGTCAAAACAAGTCGATGATCCAGTCCAGCTCCTATTCAGCACTGAGGATGCCGCACTGCAGAATGCCTTCGCGGGTAGTCAGCCCCCAAAGATGGGACTGCGTGATGGAGAGACGGCCTTGGTGCTGGGTCTCGATATCCAGGGCCGACAGCCACTGACTATTTCCCTGGATATACTTGCCCAGTTTGTTGGCCTTGGGGGTCTATTCCAGAATCCCTTTTTGTCCATCATCCAGAATCTCCGCTTCATCGTGCCCGATTCGACGAACCCAGGCACAGGCCATCGAAATGCCCTGTGGTTCGTCCCGCAGGATGCGTACGCCACCACGACGCGCCTCCAACTCGATCTCTCCTCGGAGGATATTCAGACGCTGCAGGTATTCCTCAGCGTCCTGCAGACTGCCCAAGTCAAAAGTGCCTACGTCATTGCGAGGCGTAGGAGCATATGGACCTCGTCACCTACCGAGATCAACTTCCTAACCAACGGCGAGTTGGCCCTCGTCGTCCAGATAGAGCTGGAGGGCCTTACCTTCAAGACGATCATCAAAATGAGCAATAACATGGTGTCAGTCTCCCTGGTTCTCCTCCGGGGGGAGACCGAAAAGGTGCTCGACGTCATGCTCAACTGGTTAAAGACGTCCATCATCGGTATCGGGCGCGAGCCTAGAGATCAAGATGACGACCCATTTCCATTCACACAGTGGCTTACTCAGTCTGCGGGGTCTATCTCCTTCCCCGACTTTGACTTCAGACGCGTCACTATCATCTTCAATCCGGGTGGCCCTAGTGGTTCGACCTTAACATTCGGCAGCCTCGCGTTAGACCTGGAGGTGAAGGTGGAAGCCAGAGATCAGCTCATTTTGGCTCTCATGACGTTCCAGTACTCTAACACCAAAGGCCCTGGCGTGTCGCTCGAAGCGGATATGTGGTTCGGTAAGCCCTGTCTGGTCATAACTTCCTTGAAACATAGATCCTCTAACTTTGATATTCCAAACAGCGCCGCCGTATGATGTCCATGATGCAGCACTTCGGCTTCTTCCAGAGTTCGAAGACTACGAGTGGTTCGAGCCGCTAGGTGTCTCTCCAGCTGGATTCGGAACGTGGCCGACATATCTCGACCTCGGCAAGCTGACTGGGTTTAGCTCTGACGACTCACCCCCGAGCATCTTCCCTACCGCGGTCACCGGGGCCAGGTTCTATATCGACGGACAGTCGGTCGAGGTATCAGGAACCCTCCGGTCCATTGCGTCTCAAGAACAGTCCAAGCCTCCCATCTTCTCCATCGATGAGATTGATTTGGCCGCATCCTACGATTTCGACTCGTCTGGGTTCTTCATCGCCGCCTCCATACGTTCTCGCATTGAACCACCGCCTGGTTCGTCTCTAGGACCAGCAGAGATCCGAGGAGGATTCGTGTACGATGGCTCCGTGAAGCAGTGGACTCTAGTGGGGTCTATCAATAACCTTACCGCCGCACATTTCTATCAGTTCTTCCAGGATGACATCAAGATAGCCGCCTCATCTCTCCTGGAGAGCATCGCCGTGAAGACGTTTGATATCAAGTACCAGTACGAGAGCGGGCAAGCGTCCCAGTTCAACATATCCGGCACTCTAGGCATTGGAACTCTCGATTTTGATCTCACGTACAACAACAAAGGCGATTCCTGGGCGTGGGACTTCTACGCCAGTGTACACTTTGATCCCGACAAGTCACAGGGCTCTACCTTCAGCGACATGCTAGCGAACGTGGTAGGGGGGGATGAAATTAGTATTCCTAGCTTCCTCGGCGACATTGACATCACCATGAATAAATCCGACGACGAGATTGGCGTAAGGCTTGTGCCCAACAAGGAGCGTCAGTGCATTGTATTCACCATGTGGGTAAAGCTAGGCGACCTCCGTGTGCAGTATATCCAATTTGCCTACTCGGGCCCAGAGGTATCCAAATTAGTGCGGCCCCCGATCAAGCGGGTCTTTCTAGCGTCTGTCGATGCCCTTCCCAAGGTCGAAGTTCCTCTCCTAGGCAACATCACACAGCCATTTGACGAGGCCCTGGCCATGTGGGTACAGCCGCAGGAAGGGTCAAGCGGACTCACCCTTGACGACGTCCAACTAGTTAATAGTGTCATCACGAAGTTGCCGCTCAATCAGAAAGCACTGCCGTACAAAGCCGTGATGAGAGACCCAGCAGAGGATGATGTCGTGCTGCGGAATGGTGTTCACTTGATGCTGGTCTTGCGGGACACTCAAGGCAATACGAATGTCGTCCTAGATTACGTCTTCGGTGGCGAGACGCCCCCATCCGGGGAGTTGATGACAGACGACTTTCCCTCCGAGAATGGCGAGTCGGGCATGGCAGAGTACTCCAAGTCGTATAGCGGACTCTCCGTGCGTAACTTGGGGCTCAAGTACGCCAACAATACTCTCACGATCAAGGTAGATGCGGAGGTCAAGTTTGGCCCTATCGATTTCGCCTTATTCAGTTTCGCGTTACATCTCACCTTCAAGCCGGGGGAGGGGTTCAGCTTGTTCAACCTACCAACCCCGTCAGTGTCGCTCGATGGCCTCGCGGCGGCCTATAACAAGCCGCCCATTACCCTCGCCGGCATGCTGTTGCATACCTCGAATGAGACTATGGAGATGTACCAAGGCGCGCTCGTGGCCGGCTACACGCCCTGGGCCTTCGCGGCTGGGGGGTGCTATGGGCAGATTACTGGCCTGGATCAGTACCAGACATTCTTTGTATACGCCCGACTTCTTGGGCCTCTCATCACGCTCGAGTTCGCAACTATCTCGGGCGTCACGGCCGGCTTCGGATATAACAATAGCATGCGTTTGCCTACCGTTGCCGACGTCACGTCGTACCCGCTCATATCTGTCCCGGTGCCGTCCAACTCCAGTCCACAGGCGGCGATGCAGGCTCTGGCACAGACGACCTGGTTCTCTCCCAAGAACGGGTCATTCTGGATCGCGGCCGGGCTGGACGTCACTGCGCTCGAGATCCTCAAAATCTCGGCCGTCCTGGTCGTGGAGTGGGATCCCAACATCAAGCTTGGCATCTTCGCCATCGCCACAGCAGATATCCCACGGACGTCTCCCGGTGGCTTCAAGTTCGCCCATGTGCAGCTGGGCATCACAGCCGTCCTCGACATCGCGGCTGGCACGCTCAAGATCGACGGTCAGCTGACGCCGTCGAGCTACGTTCTCGACCCCAACTGCCACCTGACGGGCGGGTTCGCCCTATACTCGTGGTTTGGGGATTCCGTCCCAGAACTGAAGGGCGACTTCGTCTTCACGCTTGGCGGCTACCACCGCCAGTTCGTCCCGCCGCCGCAGTATCCGCGACCACCGCGGCTAGGGATCAGCTGGAAGTTCGACAGCTCTATTTCCATTTCAGGTGAGGCGTACTTTGCCATCACACCCAATGTGTGCATGGGAGGTGGGCGGTGGGATGTCAGTCTATCCTTGGGGCCGCTGCAGGCGTTCTACAATGCGTTTGTGGACTTCCTGATAAGCTTCAAGCCGTTCTACTTCATCGCGGACGGTGGCATCACCGTCGGCGTCCGATTCAAGCTCGACCTATGGCTGGTGACTATTCGGATTAGCATCGACATCGGCGCGCAGTTGCACATCGAGGGACCGCCGATCCATGGGACGGTGCATGTCGACTTCTGGGTGTTCGGCTTCGACATAAACTTCGGTGCATCGGGCGGGGATGACAACTCACTGACGCTGGAAGAGTTTATCTCGCTGGCGTGTCAGGCTTCCGATGTTGTCGGCAAGGGCATGTTCCATACCATTGCGAGCGATACGCCAGTGGGGAATTACCCAAGTGTGCTGGATCGCGAGAAGGTACAAGCTTCGGAGGCAGAGGAGGCAGCAGATGATCCACGAAAGCCCCACGTTCTCGTCACCCAGTCCGGACTTGTGCCATCCGGAGATACCAAGTCCACGCCGAGCGGGGAATCGTGGACCGTAAGGGCCGCCAACTTCTCCTTCGCCGTGTCGTGCAAGGTTGCGATTACGAAGGCTACTATCATCACCGGCCGGCCGGACATGAAGGGGAAAGAGGACGTTCAAGAGCCCGAGCCGACCTCGGTAGTGGAGGGAACCAGCGAGCCGTTATACGCTCGACCTATGTGTGACACGAACGAGCTCGTTACCGAGCTGATTGTCATGATTAGACCAGATGCACCGCAGCAGAAGATGGTCACACTCGGCGAGGATGCGAATGCGAGCGTCCCCGTGTGGGATAACAACACGGCGGTCATCAAGAGTCTACCCAACGGGCTATGGGGGAAGTGTAAGTACTCTCTAATATAATTGTTTCCCCTGTCCATAACCAAGTGCTAATATTTCCGGCGCTGCCCCTAGATAACCCGTCCAAAGACCCACGCAGCCACGCTAATGATCCCTCCTTCCTCAACGGCACCACGGGCGGGACGACGTCCCTTATGTGTGGCGTAGTGATTACCGTCCCGAAGCCGCTCATCTCAGAGCTCGACACGACGCAGCCTTTTAACTACCAGAAGTTCATGGTGCAAGAAATTACCGGACTCTTCCCTTTTCCCGTCCTACCGCCTAACGAGGCACGCTTCCTTCCCGCACCCCCGGATGTACCACCGCCCGGCCAGTCTAGCAAGCAGTGGGCAGATGTGCGCGCTACGTGGGAAAGCCCCGGGTATGGCGCAGAGGCGCCATTAGACGCCGTAAACCTCTGGGTCCAGATGGGGATTGAGGAACTAGGCTGGAGTGAGGCTAAGTTGGACGACGGAAAGGGGAACAAAATGACAGGGAGACAGCCGGAGGCGTTGCTTAAGGGCTTAGAGGGTTACTATCTTTGGCCGCCGTTATTGAGCGCAGTAGAGATATTATTTCCCGCATGACCTGCTATTAAGCCAACCTAGATACAGAACTAGTTGGATGAAAAATGGGCATTAGAGAGCAGGGCGTTGAGAAACCGCCACGATATCGTAGTAAGGGTGCGGTCAACATATTGGAAATATAATAAGCTGGCGGGAGGGAACTCCCCGCCGAGCTGCGAGCCCACACAATACAGCAACCAAATATGTAGCCGCTACAACGTACTTTGTACTTCGTATATTTATCTCGATTGATATATGCCTTAACTCCGTATTCTTATAGGCGGCGGCGATAGTGTCTCCAGTTTGGAACTTTAAACCGTGATGTACAAGGAATCTTCTCAATGCAAAGTGGAAGCGGCATGCAACGCAGCGACAATCCAGCATCGTTTTAAGAAGGTTGGCGGTTGTCCACCGAGAGAAGTGCGGTGTCCAAGTCGATAGTGACATAATATGGACATCGCTCAAAAACCAGGTGGCTGGGACAGGAAGTAGGACGTACACATATAGAGCCCAAATTCCCCAGCGATGCTTTGCACCCAGTCGGATTTCGGTGAAGAATCTGGAGTCGATGTTCTTCCGCGAGTAGCCCACTCTGCGTTTAGGGAATCGTGCAAACATACTCCGTAGGCACCTTATGTAAGTATCGGAGGACGAGTATACGCTAAGCCCGCTACGAACGTTCAACCGACCGACGTTCTGCCGGTTCAACCGACGGAGCTTTTCTCTACTCTAGCCGAGCTACGTCCCCAAACTTACTTTTCAACGCCTGACCAGCCAATCATAGGCCCCCCATTATGCGTCCCCCTCGAGATCTGGCTTACGTCATGCCTGACTTAGCAGCACTAATCCATATTCGCACTCGTTATTCTACTCCATAATCGGCCTTCGCAACGAGCATGAAGCTATCGCCAACATCAAAAGTCCACCCACTGCAGACTGGTCCCTCCCAGTCCAGAACTGGTCCATCCCAGCCCAGAACTGACCCCTCCCAGCCCAGAACTGGTCCCTCTGGCATTCATCATGGCTGCACTTGTATGTTTTTCTATCGGCAATTGATCGGCTCTTGCTTGAAAACGCCGCATCCTGTGTCCCCTCCAACCTCCAACCTCCAAGAAACCTTACTCACATGCGATGTCTTTAGCGGAGAGCCATTGCTCCCAATGCCGTCGCCATTGCGTGGCTACAGTCTCGGGCCTTCATTGCCCGCTCTCGATCAATTCCCGTAGCTGTGTCCCAGTTGCGCGCCTACACTCCCTCCAGTCCCCGACGACAACACGCCTTCCACTCGCAGCTTGAGAACACTTCCAATGCCGCCGCTCTCCTCTCCTCCCAGAAGCCCGCCGCCCCGGCCAACCCCCAGACCCTCACCGAAAAGATTGTCCAGCGATACTCTGTCGGCCTCCCCCCCGGCAAGAAGGTCAAGGCCGGCGACTATATCACGCTCGTTCCTCACCACTGCATGACGCATGACAATAGCTGGCCCACGGCTAAGAAATTTATGGCCATTGGCGCCTCCAAGATGCACGATAATCGCCAGGTCGTGATGACTCTCGATCATGACGTCCAGAACAAATCTGAAAGCAATCTAAAGAAGTACCGCCAGATCGAGGAGTTTGCCGGCAAGCACGGTGTGGATTTTTTCCCTGCTGGCCGTGGGATCGGACATCAAATCATGATCGAGGAAGGTAGAGATATCGACGCTCACGATTGAGGGGTGACTTGTTAACGGATCAATAGGATACGCCTGGCCAGCAACAGTCACTGTCGCGAGTGACAGCCACTCGAACATGTACGGGGGTGTATCTAGTCTGGTAAGTTGGATTTGTTGGCGTATTTCTGTTCCCGAGTTCTAATTCGGTCTCTAGGGAACCCCCGTTGTGCGAACCGACGCAGCTAGTATCTGGGCCACTGGCCGTACCTGGTGGCAAGTCCCCCCTATTGCCAAGATCACGTTCACTGGTGTCCTCCCCGCTGGTGTCACTGGTAAAGATGTAATTGTCGCTCTCTGCGGTCTCTTTAACCAGGACGAGGTTCTCAATCATTGTATTGAATTTACCGGTTCCGAACAGACTATGGGAAGCATCCCCATCGATGACCGCTTGACCATTGCCAACATGACGACTGAATGGGGTGCATTGAGTGGTAAGAAAAATCGAACGTTGATATGTAACCGCTAATATGTGATGTAGGACTATTCCCCGTTGACGAGATGCTCATCTCCTGGTACCGCGCCAAAGCCACCACCGCGGCCATGTTGGATAGTCCCTCCAAGGACCGCATCAACCACAAGCGAATTGACGAGATTGTGGAGAACCGGCTAGTCGCTGACCCTGGTGCTACCTATGCCAAGGAGCTTTACCTCAACCTCTCCACTCTTTCCCCCGTCGTCGCCGGTCCCAACTCTGTCAAAGTCATTACCCCGCTTAAGAACCTCGAAGCTCAGAACATTTCTCTAGACAAAGCTTACCTCGTCTCCTGCACGAACTCGCGAGCTTCTGATATTGCTGCCGCCGCTCGTGTCTTCCGCGAGGCTGCAAAGGATGGCAAGCCTGCCAAAATTGCTCCCGGCGTCAGTTTCTATCTTGCTGCGGCTTCCATTCCCGAGCAGAAGATTGCTGAGGAGGCCGGTGACTGGCAGGTCCTACTTGACTCGGGTGCCCAGCCCCTCCCCGCTGGATGCGGCCCCTGCATCGGTCTCGGTACCGGTCTGCTTGAGCCGGGTGAGGTCGGTGTAAGTGCCAGTAACCGGAACTTCGCGGGCCGTATGGGTTCCAGGTCCGCCAGTGCTTACCTCGCCAGCCCTGAAGTTGTTGCTGCCAGTGCTCTTCAGGGTAAGATTGCTGGTCCTGGTTGGTACCAGAAGCCCGAGGGTGTTGAAAAGGTCATTATCGGTGAAGGAAGCGGTGACCATGTCTCTGACAAGGCTCGGTCTATCGAGAGTGCTTTTGACAAGCTCATTAGTGAGGCCGAGAGTATGATTGCCGCTGCTGAGGGTGGTGCTGAGCAGTCGTCCAGCCCCGCCGCCACTGAAGACGAAACTTTGACCGACATTCTCCCTGGCTTCCCCGAGACGATTGAAGGTGAGATTGTTTTCTGTGATAGCGATAATATCAACACTGATGGCATCTACCCTGGTAAGTGAGGCCGTTTCCTTCTTCTGGAATCTAAATCTTATACTGATTATCGAATAGGTAAGTACACCTACCAGGATGACATTACTGAGGAGAAAATGGCCGAGGTGTGTATGGAGAACTATGATACAGAGTTCCGCACGACCGCCAAGGCTGGTGACATTCTCGTTGCTGGCTTCAACTTTGGCTGTGGCTCCTCCCGTGAGCAGGCTGCCACTTCCATCCTGGCCAAGCAGATTCCTCTCGTCGTTGCCGGTAGTTTCGGTAACATCTTCAGCCGCAACAGCATCAACAATGCTCTCATGGGTGTCGAGGTTCCCCGCCTTGTACAACGTCTCCGTGAAACTTACAAGGGCGACTCTAAGAAGCCCCTGACCCGCCGCACCGGCTGGAAGTTTCTCTGGGACGTCCGCCGCTCCAAGGTTGTCATTACTGAGAAGGACGGCTCCTCTTGGGACCAGAAAGTCGGCGAGCTACCTCCCAATGTGCAAGAGATTATTGCCTGCGGCGGTCTCGAGAAGTGGGTTAAGTCCAAGATCTAAGTATAAAAGTGAGGAATGTTATTACGATTGGCTATATATTCCTTTGTTTATTAGATATCTTCTCGCGGGTGTTTCTAGGATTTCGGTCTTGTACGACGGTTGGCACTATCAAAAAGAAATGGTTATAATTCTGGGTTTTGTGCCTGTACTATACATTCGCCGGACATATCGGAAAAGCAATGAAAATAGAATAGTCGTGTTACCAAAGGCCTTTTCCTTTGAAGGCGGCTAAGATCATCTCCCGGTGACTATTTCCCGAGCTGTCATATCATCTGAACCATATTTACAAAACCCTTGAAGGCCTATACTTATTGTTCATGTCAATTATGCACATATCGCTCTAGAAATACGTTCGACATGCGATACATGTCACGGGATATTCTTTCGAAAGGAACTAGTTGTTCCATGTCAGATCCAAGTTGAAAATCGTATTTCTTCCCTAGTTGCCAAATTCTTCAAGTTCTCAGTAGCGTAGATTCGACGGTTTATGATAGCTATACTTAGGTTTTCCCCGTTCCTCGTTCCGGAATGAATCCCTGGTCAGCAAATTTTATGTATCTTATCGCAGTCTAGGCTGCTCGATGTGTCACAGAGCACCCGAGACTTTTACTGTACATAGCGATTGTTTCGGATTATTCAAAGACAAGTGTTATAAACTATAATTTGTTTTGGACGATCGCAATTTTGAAGCATCTCTGGCGACGTGCGTCGCCGGTCGATTTTGGTACAACCAAGGAGAAAATCAGAAGGGACGTGCTCTTTAAAATAGCGCCTTTGGAAATACTAGAAATAATCCAAGATCTCTCGGTCAATTGTGTATTGTGGCGATATGCAGTAGTTTTTTGGACTGGGTTGATCAGATTACTTACAATGAAGGCATTGGACGGTCCGCGGTGGGTAGGAGTTGGGGTTTTGTCATTGGGGGAGTTAGGGAAAAGGAGTGAATGGTTTTAAGTTTAGGTATAAGGAGGTGTTGAATGTCCTATCAGTTGTAGGACAGTGGAGTTTCAGTTGGTTTCAGAGGGGATGAAATTGGGAAAGCATTCTCACTATTTGATTCACCCAACTCTAGAGAACCTCCCTAGTGCGATACCTAGGTACTGCTGGTATACATGGATGAAATTCTCTGAAGTCACTGTACCCACACCCAGCCCCAGGAGTAATGCGATTCCGAATATGCGGAGGTTCACAGGCTGATATTCGGCAACATTTTGCGCCCACTCGCTCTCTTCTGCCAACTGGGCCATTTCCTCCGGAGTTTGGTTAAACTCCCAAAAAGGAAGGCTATTCATGTCGACATTGGTATTGTCCAGAAAAATCGACTTCGCAACTTTATTTTCCTCTATAACCACGATCTTCAATGTACCTCTCTCTCCCTCCCAGAAAAACGAGGAAAATGCCGGATTTGGGCTCAAGGTTCCATTTGCAATGCTACACCATAAGAGGTCCCAAGTATACAGCAACGTTTGTGTACACAGGAAATTCAGGGCTCCTCTTGTTCGAAAGACAAGTTCTACGCTCAGCAAGGAATTCGTAAATGGTACCACTCTATTTGGGATGTATGCTCTCTTCGATCGCTCGATGCGATAGGGTTCTGCAAACAGTCGTTGAAGTACATCAAGAGACGTCCACATATCGCACTGGAAGTCAACTACTAAATGCCGGATAATAGACGTGTTTTCGAAACAGAAACGATGCCAGTTGAACGCGGATGGGGATGGAAGAAGCGAGGCATCGAAGTCTTGTGTCCATCTGAGGTAATATTTCGTGTTTCTAGGTGGTAAAGTATAAATCTCGCCGAGGCTTCGAGTCAACCAGGATTTATTTTGAAGATACCAACTGAAAATCTCTTTGCGTATCTTGCTATTCGTCTTGCGGATGGCCTATTAGTAAGAAACTAGGGGTCAGCTTACTGACTTTTAGAGGCGTAAGGAGTGTAGACCCTAATCTACGGGCAGTACTCTTCGAGACAAATTCTAGAACATATTATCTGTGAAGTACATACGGTAAGCAGGTAAGGGGCATTGTTTCGAGGCTCGAGTATATCGTAAGTACGAATTTTGTGTATATCCGACCATGCAACATATGTATAGACTTGAAAGTGGATATCGTGGTTAAGAAATCGAAGAAAAAGAGACTCTTTGGCAGGCAAGGGGGCTTGGAGTCTCGCCCAAAAAATGAAGGCCATCGTTTTGCATTTGATGGAGATTCTTGTCTCGGTGTGATACGAGGGCGAAATTGAATTTAAGTATTCGAGCGTCGGAAATTTAGATTTCGACCTTCTTCGAGAAAGCTTGACATTTGGACCAGTGATGAAGGAGCGCATGTTTTTAGGTCAAAACTAGCCTAGACTAGCTAGCCTTGTTAGGATTAGAGTATAAAAGTAACTGCAAATTGAGAGTATTAATATTATGGTACCTGGAAGGCTGATTCCTTGTAATGCCTCATCTTTGCTGCGACATTTGCTCCAATACCTCAAGCGGAACAACATTATCTCCAGCACTACTAAGATGCCTAGTACTCCTACAGAGCCTCTTATAACCCCATATATGTCGCACTCATATACACTTTGTAGAATTATAACTATTGCGAGAACTCGGTCTGGATCTCTTAAGACTTGAGCATGCGGGCTACCTAGGAAGAAATTATGAGTCTTAGTAGTAGTGGCGTAACACCCTACGAGTTGAGGTATTGGAGCGATCGGCCTACCAAGCATCGGCCACACTAAGCCCTACCCCGAGTACCGGGGGAATTAATATATGACCACTTACGAACACCATCCCCTCCCTAAATGTTGGTTGGCGCAAGCCTTGGGACCGGGGTATTTCGCGAAGATTCTGGTTTCCTTATTGGTGGCCGAACATTGTATTGGCTCGTGTTCGTGTTGTTCACCCGGATTTACACTAACAAACATAGGGGGGTGATAGTTCAGTTCTAGCGCGCAGCCACCCGCAGCCCCACCTAGCGTGGTGATGCCGCTAGATGGAAGATGCCACGAATCGCCAACACTTATCTCCTACGTTCTTCTTCACTTGGTAGCGATTTCTTTGAATATGGATATGCCTCTACATCGGGATCCCCAGAATTCATATCTGCTGGCAGAGTCACAGCTAGGCTGCTGCTATCTTTCCTGGCTGCCTGGTCAGCATCTATTACTGCGGCCGTGAGTGATACACCACGTCAACAGCATCCAATACCCATACTGCCACCTATTTCTTCTGGACAGCAGTGGAACAATGAACAATGGGTTACATATATTTTTAAAGTCTACACGATAGTTAAATGAAGTGCCCCCACTTTTTCCAAATGTAGAGTTTCCACTTTTGACTCAAGTTGTACTACATATTCAAGGATTTTATAGATAGTACTAAATTCTTAAACCTATTACTTAAAATTCGCGGCTTCGAGTAAGAAGGGAAGGGCGGTGGTAGCATTGAAATCCGACTGGTTTTATCAAACGAGAACGCCAAACAGCAAGGCAGCCCTTCTAAAAGCTTAGATAAAAGCATAGATCATATATAATATAATATATAGTATATAGTAAGTCTAAGTACATGTACGTATATTTAGAACCCGGCGAGTAATATAAGTTAGGGTAGTAGGGATAAGATTCATATAACTACCTAGATTTCTACTAGACACCGGTATAATACTTTATTCTATTACAGCTGTTGCTACTTAGAAAAGTACAAGGCAGAGCAGGGGAGTGCAGTAGCGTACGGTACCTCGGTACCTTGTAAAAGGGGTAAGGTATAACCTAGCGAAGCTTACCTAATATATCATCCTGGAAATCTTAAGGGGCTTACCCTGTAATCCTCGGACTTGTGGCTGCAACCTACGTACCTGCCCAACTATTTGAGATGGCCCACCCCTCTCACAACTAAAAAAAATACATACCAAGGCCACTGCAAAATGATAAGCCTTACAATTCCCCTCCTAACGGCAACAGCAGTTCTGGTCTGGCTTAGCAGTCTCGCAATCTACCGCCTCTATCTATCTCCACTCGCCGCCTTTCCCGGCCCAAAATTAGCTGCTCTAACTGGATGGTACGAGGCCTACTTCGACCTTCTCAGACGGGGTCGCTACTGGGTAGAAATTGAACGTCTGCATGAAATCTATGGTATTGGGTCTTTTATTGTATAAATATCAAATATATGTTGACGCAATCCAGGCCCCATAATCCGTATCAACCCCAATGAGCTACATGTCAACGATCCCGAATGGAATGAGCCCTACAAGATCAGTGGCCGCGTTGAGAAATACGATTGGTACTACACCTTCGTGGGCAGTTCTGCAGCGGCGTCGGCGTTCGGAACTATTGACCACGACCTGCACCGCGTACGCCGTAAAGCTCAGCAAGGCTATTTCACCACCGACGCCATTGCGCGCTTTGAACCGCAACTAGAAGCGCTGACAGCAAAGTTTTGCACCGCACTCGACGGCTTCAAGGGGACGGGACAGCCTGTCAATCTCTCAGATGCGTTCCGATCGTTTGCGACAGATGCGGTCTCGATATTTACGCTAAATCGGTCGTATGGTTTTCTCGACGAGCCGGATTTCAATGCCGAGGCGCATCGGGGAATAAGGGCCTTGCCGGATATTGGATTGTGGAATCGCCATTTTGCGGGTTTGTTGGCGGTTTTGCAGTCACTGCCGAAGTGGTTGTTAGATATTGCCAACCCGGCGGAGGCGGAGGCTGAGGATTCATCAATCAAAAGTGTACTTATCTTTCCCACTCATACTTATATTGGTTTAGTCGGCATTCTAAAATGTGATAGAAAATTGACTCACGCTGTAACGCTATTATTGCCGATTACGCCAATAAGAAAAGCGACATCGAGCCCAATATCATTCACAAAATGCTCGATGCGCCAGATCTCCCGATGGAAGAGAAGGCGGCGTGGCGGCTTGCATTGGAGGCACGCACGTTGATAGGAGCTGGGACCGAGACAACAGGACAGACATTAAGTGTTACAGCATTCCATCTGCTCGCAAATCCGGAGAAAGCGAGGAGGTTGAAGGAGGAGATATTAGCGGCGAAAAAAGGGCGGGAGCAACCTTTGACGCATCAGGAGTTGCAGATGCTTCCATACTTAGTAAGCTCGATGTTATAGTCTGTGGAGCAGGGCTGATGTGAATAGTCTTCTGTGGTTCTTGAAGGACATCGGTATGGAGGCGACACCATCTCGAGAGAATGGGGCTGATAGCTTGCAGAATTTCCAGTAGTGTATCAGGACGTCTGCCACGAGTCAACACAAAAGAGATGCTCACATACAGCAACTACACCATCCCGATCGGCGCAAGTCACCCGCTCCCTAAACTAGCTTTCCATAGCTGACCGATCAAACAGACCCCGGTTAGCACCACCCAACGGTTAACACACTATAGCACCACCCTCTTTCCCTCACCAAACACCTTCCTCCCCGAACGCTGGCTTCAGCCCTCGGAGCGTAAGCGCCTTGAGAAATACATCCAACCCTTTGGGCGAGGTTCAAGGGCTTGTGTAGGCATGCAGTGAGTGCCCTCCTGTATTCAAAAGGGAATATAATGACCAACATGACAAGTTTTGCCAACGCCGAGATTCACAAGATATTGGCCGAGACATTTGCGAGGTTTGACCTGAAGTTATGGGATACGGAGTTCGAGGATATTATGCAAGTACATGATTTTTTTACATCATTTCCCGAGAGCGGGAAGGGGTTGAGGGTACTTATTGAGGATTAGATAAAGGCGGTGTGGCGGAAGAGGGCCACTGGCACGATGCCTTTTGGACCATTCTACCTAACTAATGTGTTTCCTCCATTAGCATGTCGGTGGGTGGGTTGCATGTTAGAACTTAGAACCGCGAAAGCAGCTAACAGTCTCACCTGATGTATCTACAACGAGGCGGCTAATAGCCGTATGATTTGTAGCCTCTGTTCCAAACTATAAAGATCCTGGATACCCCTAGACTCAGGATTAATTCTCTCTTTGGCTGATTCCGTTTTAGTCTGTAGACATGAGCAACTGCTGCTTTAACCTGAGCTGAGGGTGAACAAGCCTGAGCAAGCCTGAGTAGAGCTTAAGCAGAGCTTGAGCGTCCTAAGCACGCTTGAGTCAGCCTGCGCACTCATAATGTGGGACTTATTTTGGCCTCTTACATGAATTTTGCTCGGGAATCTGTTTCTGCTCCGTTTCAGGTTCTTGCCGGAGCAGATTTTGGATTCTTCTTATTAAAGAGTTTAGATAGTAGTAATTCAGCCTCACAAGTCAGAATACAGTAGGCTGTTTCGACTTTTGTGGCATGACCTTAGTACAAGTCATGGGACTTTATTACAGATAACTAACACATCGGTCTCTTACCTCAGGCACTTAGGCTATAATGTTACTCTCTGCATTTGTTTTGGTCTACTAGCAAACTAACTTGTTTTGGACCTGTTATCCCTTTACCCTGCTTATTAGAACACTCCCTCAACTCCTCCGCGCTAGCACAGCCCTGTGACGCGCTGTACAGACACGCCTAGCCCAATATGCCTCTCCCTCTCCCCCCCCCCCCGGGGGGCCCAACACAACACCGCAGCAAACCCCCCAACCGCAACCCAACTCGCCACCAAAAATGCCATATTGAACTTCACCTCCTACGTTTCCCCAATTGCCTCATTATAATCCCCAACACCAGGTAACGGGATCTTCGCGTTGGGGCTCTAGAAATCACCTACGCGATAACGCGCAGCTTCGAGCAGGATGTTGTTTGTGATGCAGATGCGCACCACGCCCATTTTCCCGGTATTTTTGACTTTGGTCGGAAGAAATGGGTGGTGAAGAGGGCTGTGCAGCAGAGAGAGAAGAGCACCTAGTTTCGTTACTTTCATTTGACAGTTTCGGAGGGAGGGGAGGGGAATAAGTATATTGTGATAGCTGCTGTTGCTTGTGTAGTTCTTGTTTGATTGAGTTGGCTTTCTGCGATATTTGAGCATTTCGCGGCTTGTTTTGCGCGCTCTTCATAGGCACTGGGATTTCGGATTGAGATTCCGATTAGAAAGAGGTTGTAGGCGCTGAAGCCTGCTGGGATACCGTGAATGATTGGAAGTAGGAAGGCCATTTTATGGTCGGGATGTGGATGTGGTAAAGATGTTTATTGATGCCGGTTTGAAAGAATCTCCTGAGCGATTTAGATTGGGTTTTTTGGCTGGTATATAAAAAGGGTGAAGTTGAGATGCGAGTTTTGGGGAGTTACTTGGATGGAAAGCCTCTCCGCGAAGCTGCCAAGGGCGGGTGCATCAGGGTCCTGAACTTTATTTGAGATATAAATTATTTAGAAGCAAAGGGCGCACAGTCGGAGAATGAATTCCATGCCATTTAATAGCTCAATCTACTTTCATACTACAACAAGAACCACCTGCTTGGGTAATTATTAAAGCCGTCGTTAAACTCACAGCCTGGCCGCTTCAACTCACGCACTAATTACCTTCGGCTCACTACCTTTGGCTCTTACCCGAGCAACTTGAGCAGTACTTACTTAAATCCGACTTAGGTGTTTTTCTTTGGACGGAGATCCCTGTTCTGCTTCCCCTGATCGAATGTGAGGTTCTGCTGAAGCTGTTACGTGCTTTCTTCATCAGCAGAGTGTGACCCACTCAGTTTTACTTGGATCCTTTATTCGACCCAGCATGCTTACTCCATCCATAACACCATGCACGTATGTCTCTCCAACAAGCTTCCAGCTTTTCCCTTCCTCGCTCGACTCGCGGATGACATAGGGAACTTTTGCTCCCAGAAAGACGCAGATGGCGTCACTAACCTTGGCAAAGTCAGGCACCAAGGCCATGTACCCTGATTGAGTGATAGCAAATTGTCTTCCTGCTGCCTTTCGCACCCAGAGATTGCCAGCATTGATGGCACTCATATTGTCTTCAGCTGTCAGATCACCGCTTATGCCACCTTCCATCGATGCGAGACCGGGATCGAGCGAACATCCATACTTTGTTAAGAACTCAATAGCCTCTCTTGAGGCAGGAAACGAGGTCTGATCCTCATTTCCAATCATGGTCCGCAAGATGGCTTCCAAAAGTGGCTCGTCGGTCCAGTGGTAGCCCTGAATCAGGACGTTGGGAAATCTGTTCTCGACCATCTGAATGACTGCTTGAAGCCACCTGCGCAGGCCCGGTTTAAGATCAGTCCCTTCCTTGTCAGACATAATTTTCTGGATTGCTTCTTCTCTGATGTCTTCAGGTGACGACAGAATGGCGGACCAGTAATTGTTCCGATCTATTTCAAAGATACGGTCCAGAATAAAACCTTTTAGTGTGATGGTATCTTCCTGTTCCTGTGTAGTGTCGAGCACCACAATCGTATCACTAGAAACAGTGTATTTGCACTGAATGTCATGCATGGTATGCATTTTCGGCATAGTTGTAAAATCAGGAACCCAAGAAGGGAGCTCCATTGAGGGCGCATGAGCGAGTCCGGCCAGGCCGAAGAGAGAAAAAGACCCACTTGACAGGATATGTCTCGCAACCCTGGTGTATAGTTGCCGTGGGCTGATGGTGTAGTCTGGCTTCAACTCCGGTACTTGGTACAGAGGGTCGAGCGCCTCGAGTGCGTAGATGCGATCTCGGCTGTCCGTCGCACCTGAGCCTCGCGTCTCCAACAGAACCTGAGGGAGTGAGACCATGTTGTTTTCTGAATAGGCAGCGCGTGTAATTGCTAGAAAACTGAGGTTCATCCTTCCATGGAGGCATGAGAGACGGTCGCCCCCGAACATGTCATCCATAGAAAGAAATGAAACGCCAGTAGTCGCGCTCATGATGGTGAAAGACAGTGCCACTCTTGCAAGCATATCCCAGTCGGTATAGCGACCGCCATAAAGCATCGTGATAGATCTGGATAGAATGATCTCTTGGATAATCCAAATTCGTGACCAGAATGGGTGACGAAGCAGTTGTTGGTATGCTCTCCAGTTATGAACCTCTTCGTGGAACGGAAACCGATCGAGGGGATCCGTCTCCTGGAAATAACTCGGGTCTAGTCGCTGTAGGGCTGCGACCTCAAGTCTGCCTACAAAATCAGGAACGAGATGAGCATCTTCAGCATCTCCCAAGTAGGCGATGTTTCTGGTGGCTCCTCGGTAAATCTGTGACATGAGGGGTATCTGGGTTGCTTTTTCATCTCTGTCCGCCTGGTTGATACAGATTGAATCAATCCATAGGTATCTTGCTCCCCATAAAGGTGTAAGAGCGCGTAGTATGTCGGACATTGCATTAGATATTGGGAGGAGTTTTCCATCGACAACAAGAGCATAGGGCCTTCCTAGTCCATCCCATCTCCATGAAATTGTTTCATAGATCGGCATGGGCCCCACGAGTCGGGGAACATTGAGTAGGCTGCAGCGAGTGTCGAACAAGCCCGTCCGAATCTCTAGGACTCTGAACTCATTTGCACCTCCGTCGACGGGCTTGTAATCGTAACTCCCTTCCTTACAAGACCCGGTCCTAAGTATCCGACGTGACAGCCGTAATCTCAAATGACTTCTACAATACTCTGCAGCAGTAAGGAAATTTCCCAGCAGCCGAGCAGAGAGTCTCGGTAGAACCATGGGTAGGATGAAGAGTTTGTTCAACACCCTATGGATTTGCTGAAGGGCTGAAGAAGCGAGGCTTCTGCATGAAGGCACGACCATAACACTTAGCGCTGTGATGCCAATCGGAAGTACGTATGCACTTGAAATAAATAGTTTCACTCTCCCCAAGACACTCCAATATAGCTTTGTATGTCGGTTGACGAAGGCAATTCCAGACATGTATGAGATGGATGTAGACACGAGGATGATAAAATCTCGAAGTTCCGGCCGAATTCTGATCGAGTTAGCACGGTCGAAGTCGCTCATATATTCGTGTTCTCGTGTGGCAACACCCCAAAGACCGACAGCAGTGAGTGAGTACGTCCCGATGATCGGTAAGCGTAGCCACGGTTGAAAAACCGAGTCAAGGATCCAACGCGCAGCCTCCAGTCTGAGGGGGAAAAAGATCGAAGAGGCAAAGCTACAGGCGCTATAGAACCACACCTGATCACACAGCACCAGGAATGCGGACTTGAAGGCTGGATGGGAAGTGTCAAAGAGCTTTAATCTTGGTGTGAAGAGCTTCTCGAGGATGCTCTCTGAGGTGTCCGACGAGGCCGATCCCGACTCGTCTTGAGGTACATGTTCTTCCATCTTCAAGGAGGGCCTACTATCCTCTATACCCGCGACAGTTCGATTACACGCGAGCTAGCCCTTATACCACGGGACGTTGCTTATGTCTGCTTAGGATGTGGTTGTTGAGATGCCAGTTGTAGCCTGCACTGAGTCTTAGCCAACCACCGACCTGGTAGCTGGGGGCTGGGGGCGTGAGTCGGTGGGCTTCGCCAACGGGTACATAAATCTACGTATAGTTTGCTGCCTATTTCTGAGCCACAGGATTAGCTCGCTGGCCCCGGGTTTCACCCATGTCCACGCTAGTGCTTGACTGCCAGCCAGCCAGCGTTTACCTTATGGTATCGTCCAGGATCACGCGCTGGTGAATTTCAGACAAGGCTGAAAACCCCTCAAACTTGGAGGGCCTCACGCCAACTCATAGTTCAGATTGATACCCAAACAACCCTTCGTGATGTTGTGCGATGTATGCCAAACTATAACGCCCGAGTTATTGCATAGCGGGCAGCTGTTCTCGTTACATAGCCGATGGAAAGGCGTGGTCTCCTCTGCCAAGGCGGGATGTTGCATTTGCGGCTGAATATCCAACGACCCACGGTTTTCGGAATGGAACACCAAGTTGAATAAATCTGGGTGGTGGGCCCAAGGACGCACATCGTATACCTTCAGTGGAGTCAATTCAAGAACGGCGCTGAGCATAGGTATTCGTGCTGGTATAGGTTGACATGTCGCGGATAGAGGGTTCCTTGAGCTCGCCAGATATTCCGTGTACATAACTCCAGGTATGCCCATGTCGATCATCGTTACATTCCAAATTGTTTGATGTTGACGCTGTGTCTGGAAGGAGTGTCTTCGACAGCGAAACCAGACGAAGTCACGGGACGCCCAATATCCCAGTATGCTAGTTCTAAGAGATGCTTTGATATGGCGAGAAAATGGATAACTGAGTGCTTACAAGATCATGGTGCTTCGTGCCTATCGAGGGGGGATGCGGAGCTCCCTACAAGGTTGCTTTATCTGGGAACAACAGACAATACTTGCGCTGACCTTTATTTGCGAGTGACGGGAAAACAACTGGGAGCATGGGTTGCGCTCAGCCATTGCTGGGGTACGTCCGCAAAAAGTCGGCACACTACCACCACCCGAAATTTGGAAGGACGACAGCATGGCATAAGATTTACAGATTTACCTTAGACATTCCAAGACGCGGTCGTTGTGACGTGAACCCTTGGTTACCGCTATCTATGGATCGATTCCCTTTGCATTTTGCAAGATGATGAGAGAGATTGGGTAGAGGAGTCAAGTCGAATGCAGCATTATTACAAGAACGCAATTTTATCGATCGCTGTACATGTTTCCGCCGGAGATGAAGAAGGTTTCTTGGGCTATATGCGGAATAACTCCCAAGGACAATTTGATACTAAGGAGATATCTCCATGCGAGTCTCATATCAATATCCGACATCCAATCACGATTCCTAGACTCGCTGGAGATACATGTCTATCCAGGCGAGCTTGGACTTTGCAAGAAGACATCTTGTCATCACGGACCCTGCACTACACAAAAGAGCAAATTATCTGGGAATGCCAAACCAGCAAATATTGTGAGAGCGACGCCTCCGAATTAGGAGATGATCATCATTACTTAGTTTCGGGGTTAAAGAGATTTTTCCTTGCACCGCACGTTGGTGCAAAGAAATACGACAACAGTTATGCAGGCCTATTTGATCCGATCTACCGTTGGTACAGCATCCTCGAGAGCTACGTGCGTCGGGAAATCACGTTCGAGAGTGATAGTCTACCCGCGATCTCCGCACTTGCCAGAGAGGTCCAGAGGCTTACTAGATGCTCTTAAGCTGGAGGAATTTGGGTTCAGGACTTCACGAGAGGAGTCTTGTGGACTTCGGTCGGGGTTGCTGAGGCTACGCAACAATATCGAGCGCCGTCGTGGAGTTTGCTAGCCTTGAATTTCTCCAGAAAAGAGTTCAGAGAATCTCATGTCTTTCCCCTGAGACGTATGAAGGATGCAAACTTACTCGAAATTCGAAGAGCCAAACTTCTAGAATGGCACATTGACACAGCTGATGGCGATCTATTGGGTCGCCTTAAGTCTGGATACTTACGCATCCGGGGAGCGAGCCTACCTGCCTCGCAATGGCGAGGAAAGGTTCCACCGCACTTCAATCAACAAGACCTAGTTTCCTTCAAATCCTGGATTTATGAAAGTGATAACCTCCTCCCTAATCAGTTAATCTGCGTTCTTCACATTACGCCAAAACACCTCTTTGTGCATCGGTCGAATACAGCTAGTAGATTAACAGAACTTGGAGGCGAATGGGATTATCTTCTCGATGAGAATGTCGCACAAGCTCAACTCCTAGACGTTACTATTCTTCAAATAACGACTGTCAGTGGCGCCCCTTATTCAATAGATGTCTCAATGGCCTTGATGCTGCGAGCAAATGAAGACGGAACAGCTTATCGAAGAGTCGGGATAGTAGAAGTACCTAATTACGGATATCTTGCGGAGTTTGGTTGGGAGACAAGAGATTTTACTATTGTGTGACATGACAAACGACTTCAAAATCTGGAATCACAAATCCATATTCTACCACATAAGTTAAACTCAACTATTTTTTCGCTGGTTCCGTTTTAGTCTCTAGACATGAGCAGCTGCCGCTTTAACCTGAGCACGACCGGAGCACGACCTGAGCAACCTGAGCCTGCATCGAGGGCCATTTTAGCACCCAACGGGGCTCGTTCTGGCTCCCGCTTAAAATCCCAGGCTGCAACGTTTCGTAGTCAAAATTAGAATCACGATTGCAACACCAAAACAAAAGCAATTAATGTTATTCTTGGAATGGTAGTAGATTGAATATAGATATAGAGATTGTAATATTTGCTTTTCCTCCGAACATGTTCTGAGGCATATATTTTGCGACCACGTGACGATTCATCAACCTGCTCCCTCTCCACTATAGCCGCGTCGGGGACCACTTTAAGAGGCTTGGATCTTTATAGGCAGCGTTGTCTGAGGTACAGGATGTGTTGGATTCGCCTTTGGCATCGTTGGAGCAGATGTTTTAGCCTTGGTCGGCTTATGTTTTGTCTGTTTGACGGTGTAGATTGAAGGGCTGGGACCACTGCCAATAACTTACGAGTAGCTGCGTCGTTACTGTCGGAATAGCTATTGGGTCAGGTGACCTTAAACCACCTGACCGCGCGCACGCGCTAAACCGCATTCGGAATAACAACACCCCATAAGCCTCAATTCTGTAGAATGTAGACTAAAGACAACCATCATCAAATTCAACACCGCATACGTACCACTAGAAGTGATATTCGTGCCCGTTGATAAGATGGTTCATACCGACGGTTACCTTCCTTCCCCAAACGCTTATGCTCTTTAATGAGGGTATTCGCAGCTCGTTTGATCCTTATAGCAGCCAAGCGCTCTTCTTCTACCTTCTTTCGACCTCTTTTGTCTACTAATAGACCAAAAAACGTAGGAGCTCGCGCCTTTGCTCCCCGTACACCTCTCCATACTCGCTGTTTTCTTAATCGCTACTTATTTAATTGATTTTATAATAACTTATTTGATTAATTTAGGGTATTTGCATATTGATTTAGTATATAGTGGCCATTTCTTTGCTAACAATAACATCCTCAAGTTTACAAGTAAGCCAATATGTTAGTTGATTATGCCAGTTTGCCGAGACGAATTGGAGGACGCGTTAAACATCTGCTAGCTCTAAGAGCTTCTCCTTAGTTGCTTTGCAATTTTCTCAACGCTTAGAAGTGTTCGATTTGATAATATATTAAATAGTTGAGCGCGTGATTACTTATGGTCCTTTACATATTTTTATAATTTGACTGTAGGATTTGCTATTAGCGCGCTACCCCTTGATTTTGGAACGTTCAGGAGTCTTTCACTCCATCCCAGGCTTGTGCTCACGCACAGCAGGTAATGAGAGGAGAAAATTGTCCATTCTGACGCGATTGATGTGTTTCTTAAAGATCAAGAGGTCGCGTTGTGAAAAAATCGGGTGGTAGTGTCACTTATATTGCAGTGTACGGAGAGTAAAGGCGCGGGCTCTTACCATCTTATACAGTGAGTACAAAATAGTCCCAGATCCTTCATGCTCTGTGGCATAGTGAAGTGGCGGCCTTCATTCCATCTCGACGGCATGCTCCAAAGCAGGCCAGAAAAGGTCGAGTGAGTTGTCTTGCTCATCATCGACGGCCTGAACATCATGTCCCTTTGCAACCAAGGCATCCAAATAGTTAGAGAAAATATGAGTTCCATGGACCCTCGCAATATCTTCTGGCAAAAGGGACATATCCTCCAGGTCATCCGGTATGGAGAAATGAGTAGGAGAGGAGTAGGCACGAGGATCTGCTCCAAGATCGATAAGAAACCTCATTATATCAAGGCTTTTGGATTCAACTGCCAAATGAAGGAGAGTCCATTTGCGTACATCAGTGGCAGTGAGGAAGTTCGGCTGGTATCTAGTGAGTTCCTTGAAAGTCGACATGTTGTTGAACTGAACAGCGCAGAAGATTGGAGCCCACATCAGATTTCTGGTTTGGATCTTGGGTGATGCGCCTCTCGATATCAGTGATTTGATCTGGCTCGCATTGCCAAACGCCGCGGCTCTATGCATAGCAGTCCATCCGTCCCCGTCTTGAGCGTCAAAATCGCTGAAAGAGGCAGCTGAAATAACTTCCAGAAACTCTTCGCAAGGGGCTTGGTGTTCTGGCTCTTCGCCGAAGAGACTAAATGCCGCCGTCCATCCTCTGGCACTGATGTGGTGGACATCCACACGATTTTCCAATAAATACCGTACAACCGAAAGCTGTCGATGTGCAAATGCCCAATCAAGTGGACTTCTACACAATCGGTTAGATTCTCTTAATGTGTCTGTGACGCTGGGGTCTCCCCTACGTCTGAAATCGTCCAAAAGATTTTCTAGGGTCAGCCCCTCTCCAGACGAGCTGCTTCAGAAGCTCCACTGAGCCACTTGCAATCGCATACTGAATCAATGTTGGCGAAAATACAATGCCTGCTGGCTTATTCAGAGGCGTACTGAAAACGGGGAGAAGTTATCCGGGGTTACGTCGTTCACACTTGCTTTACCCTCATTCAAAAGGTTCCAGACTACGAAAGTGTTCCCAGTCTGACAAGCTCTCATAATCAAGGAATCCTCTGGAACGACGTTTTTAAGTACTACCCCGGTAGCAATGGCAGAGACCTCCACACCGAATAGAGAGACTAGTTTAAACCTCGTTTCCATGGAAAACACCTTGAGGCAGAATAAGGCGTGCAGTCTCACGGAAATTCCATATGAGCGCAAATGTGTCGAATCTTCGGAGCAACATACCGATCCATTCACTCTCACAATATATGGCAATGCCCAGTCTGATCCGAATACACTCCTAGCCCAGGAGAATCGCCCCGCACCCTTCGATGGCTGACTGTTAGGCGGGTGGGCTTGTAAGTTTAGTAATTCCTGTTTGAAAGCCTTGAACTCGGCTTCAAAATTACTCATATACCGACTAAAATATTATTAGCGATCGCCAGGTAGAGTGAGGTCATTCAAACTTATGAAGTAGCAGCAAAGTTCTTTGAAGAATATCGCCATGAAGCTGGAGACGATCCTCCCATGCTTTTACTTTTTTTGCATCGTATAGTGCCCACTTAAGACGAGCCGTCCGACCATCTCTCCGTGTGATCCTCGTCAGAAAGGTACGGATCTCCAAGAATACGACACTAGTCGCCATCAATGACCGTTGCAACACCTCAAAAGCAGTGCGATCGAGGTGTAGAGCGCCTTCATCATTAGAAAGTGTCACCTGTACATATCGAAGCAATCGCAAGTTGCTGTCTAACCCATCTAATCGATGTCCAAGATCTTTAACTTCTGCCGGGGCATTTTGATAACCGTTCACGAGGCTCTTGATGTGTTTGAATGTCCTCAATGCTACATCAATCAGTGTGAGTAACGAAGCAGAGGTACCAATAGGCTCCATTGTGTCGGGAGTTAGCAGATGTGTTAAAAGTGAACATTTTCTCAGCAGAGAATCAGTCAATCCCAAATACTTACGGAATCCTCGCGCCCGACATGTATGAAAACCCCAACATCGTATTGTTGTCTAAGTTTGTCTAAGAAACTGCCCAGGCATCGATCGATATTTCCGATGCGTTGTCCGCTAATGATTTGTTATGTCGCCTCAAGGTTTCGTCCTATGGAACGCCACATTCTAACTCCACGAATCATTGAAGAGCTGACAGAGTGAGGCATACGAGTTCGCCTCATAATTCTAATGCGGCCTAAGACCCAATACAACACAGCCTGCGACATGCAGAAACGATGCAGAACAATTTTGTCAGGTAGAATTTGATCCTAATACAGGCAGTATGCAAGGCTGCGAAAGAGAAGCGCGAGACCCAGGTTGGTGATTTTCACTTGGCAGCAACCTAACAACAGAAAAGTTGATCCAAGGAAAGCAGGGCAGCTATGCATGACTTGCAACGTTACACTACTTACATAGACCCTCTCAAAAAAATGTTCAAGAGGGCGTTTCTACTCTTTGAGTCTCCCTGGAAAGGTCTATAATTTTCCAACTTCCAGCCAACCTTCATAGGACCACCTCAACCCCTCGAGTTACCATCTCATCGCTGAACATTTGGTTTTATCCGCCAAAATGCCATCAAAACGGAAAGATCGTAGGTTTGACAAGCATCGGTCTAACAAAGCTAAGTCGGATAAGTCAAAGCCTAGCCAGGCAACCGAATGGTCAGAGTGGATATGGGGTGGCACCCAATGGCACCAGTACCGCAACAATGAGTATGGTAAGTGATAATATCCATAATACCAATCTTTGACAGCTAACTTGACTTTTACAGGCGAACTTGAATACAACACACACCCAGGCACAGCAGTCAATGACTATCCCCAAGAAAATCGATATAACAAAAACGAAGAACCGAGATTCGGTGCTCCACCCAACGGGTCACAGTGTGGTTGTGGTAGTGGCTGTTCATCTAATAGTGGCTGCGTTAGATCCACAAAGTTCGGGGATCTAGAACAGGAGAAGCGCCAGCCGGATGGAGGGCAAGATACCGCAATCCCCATTCCACCTCCAATCTCCTCCTACCAGTGGCCTCAGCAGAACCAGAATTCAGTTCCGACTTATCCGTCTACTAGATCCTCATATCAGACGAGCTATACCGGAGATGCTCATGGTCGGCAACAAGAGCACAGCGTCACGAGCTCTGCTCAATATGCCCCAACACCTTACTCATCCTCTGCAGCCCAAGGAATTCCTTGGAATGACGCTATGAACAACACATCCAATAGCGGCTATACAAACCAGGCACTATACTCTACATATTCTGGAATTATTCAACCTTTCCAGCAACTAGCCGTGCAACAGGACGGGCCTTATGGCGCTGACACATGCAACGATGACTTTCAAGGTCACTCATCTATAGCTACCCGACATTCACCATTGGATAGTAGCCACGGGACAGTCTTCGGGCGGATCTGTAAAGAAATGGGCCTATTAAAAGAAGACTACTGGGAATATCCAGATAGGTACGAGAAGCCGGCATCATATTGGAACGGTGAGAGATTGCAAAACAATTGCGTCTTTGTCTCTGTTGGATATCTTCTTGGTATGCCATCAGAAGAACTGTCATCTTATCTGCAGGCAAAGCCGCTGCCTACGGAACTTCAGGGGATCAATCTGGGAGAAATCGAGCGCATACTTTACAGAATTCCTGGCCTAAACATTGTTGCCTTCCCCGTCCAACTCGAGGGTTCTCGGAGACGGCAGAGTCAACATCCAGAACCTCAACAACGCTTTGCCTTGAGAAAGTTGCCAGAATGCCTCAAAGACAAGGATCAGCCATTCGCAATTGGTTATGAAAGAGGCAGCGGGCGTGGGCATTGTGTTGTAGCACAAAATCTTCGTGGGCGAGGTGGGACTAGAGTGGAGGACTACCAGTTTACTTGTTTCCAGCATGAAACAAACGGGAGGAATATGTCAGAAGACGTAAGGAATAGTTTCATCAGTTTTGCCATTTTCATAGATCCTGGGTCTAGGAACCGTGCTCTGAGCTGCTTCTACGAAAGCACACTCCAGAGTAATGGAAGTCGAGGCGCTGCATCTGCAAATCACGTAACGCTTTATGATGATGGGAGAAGCCCTACCACGGTCAGCTATTAGCTTCCCACTGATTCTAACTACCCGAGCACAATCAACTACAGTGCTTCAAGTCTGATTCCGGAGACTAGTACTTCGGAATACCCGCGTGTGGCCCGCTATAGCACTGCAGGGCATGGAGCGAGTAGGAGGTAGATGGATTAGTCAACCACGATAAGTGAGCGAAGTAGTAAATGATTTCTGGAATATGCAACAAATCAAAAACGTATGATAACACCGATGATATCAAGAAGAAAATTTCAATTTGATATTTCGCATTTTCACAGAACGGGCTTGGTTTTGGTGCACAACCAAGAGTAAATCTTCTCATCCAGCAGTATACTACACTTTCCCGGAAGACCATATGCCCCATCTATCCAGTCATCATCAGAAACAATGTAGCTATTATCCTCATCTAGCGTGGACTGCCAAGTCCAAAATATGAGTGGAATTTCCTTGCCAACTCCTTGAATCTGCGGTCTTTCGTTTTGAGGTCACTGATCAAATAACGACTGGAAGAAATGTCTTACCACCGGCGATACTCTTTAGAATGACCACGAGTCACTTACTTCTCAGGCAGCTCAGGCAGCTCAGGTGAGCTGGGTGAGAAGAGGGGTGAGCCGAGGGTAATTAGCGCATGAGTAGAAGAGGCGAGCTTACTAACTAACCTTGGGACAAAGAAAAGAAAGTTGTGTTCAACTACCATTAAAGTTTCCTACCCAATATTTCTGGTAATTAAGGCAGGACGACACTCGGACTTAATAGACCCTATCCCCTCCCTCCCAGCGCACATTTCCCACAGACGGGTACACCACAAGACATCATCTCAATCAACTCTACGCTTGATATCAAGCAAGCTTTGATAACTGATGCACTAGAAGTGTTCGTGAAATTTGATTTGTTGAGATCAACCTACTATTGTCATCCTACCGGTACCGCACCAGAGATCTATTACACGATTGGAAAGTTTCGGAGAGAGAGGATAATTTCGACGGCAGTTGCACTTACCCCGTTCTGATCAGCTCCCATATTCCGTTCCAACTATCTGAGAGCAGCATCAGATGTGTTTGTCCACAAATCCTCCCATTTAATCTTTGTCGCTGTGTCGAAAGGAGGGCAGTCAACAGTATTCGCTATACCCATCAGCACTTCCCTTCCAACAATAAATTGTCCCTTCCCCCCAACTCCCTGTAAAGGACTCACTATAATGCACTAGCGCTGTTGAATCAGGGTTCTATATTCAGTATAGTTTAGGTTCTGTTCTTAACTGACCCCTCCTTTCCCCAGGTAACCTTCCCTCCTTAGCTATCTTCAGCTATCTCATATATATAATTTTACCCCAAATTGTCATCTGATCCGACAAGCGCCCTCCTCCAAGCCGAATTCACAGCATTACTCCCACCCCTCGGCACCGCATCCTAAGCGCCCCTCCCACTAACCAGGCACGGCGCCATACTACTGTCACTCGGCGTAAGCTTCTTGATCGCATCATCCAGCGCGCGAAAATCGTTTCTTCAACGACTTCCCATCTAACAACTAACTCCCCACGATACCATTGAAGCTTCCATCTAGTGGCCCATTGTTATCCTTAAACCACGGATAGAGATCCGGATACGTAGCTAGTCGGACCGTCACTTGAAAATTTTAGGCCATAACAAGCACAGAACAGGAAGGAATTTACAGAGGGAAGAGTAGTACTCCCCTCAAGGGCGAAGCAGATCCACGTTCAACCGATTTACATCATAGATAGGACACCTGGTGTATTTTTAGAAAATATATACTTTGGGTTCCGGGGGACTTGTTTAGTTTCCTTGAATACCGTCGTCAAACCTTGACAAAATGATATGAGAGAAGAAAAATCAGATCAAGGTAATTAGCTAAGAAGTGAGACGTTAAAATACGTGACGATGTGGCAAATCTTGCTTAGGGTGCTCAGGGGAGTTGTTCAGGTCCGACGCACAAGATAGAGAAATTTGATTCATGATACCTAGTTATATACTGTGATAATTGCAGCAACAGAATGCACATGTCAGGTATCGCACTTAGAACTCGCTAGCAGTTCTATTACGCTGAGTGAGTATCTGACGATATTACGCCTTAAGACGAACTCCTTCCATGTTTGTGAAGTAAATATTGAAAAATTAGCAGTCAACTACATAAAGTGTTGAGATAAGACACCAAGTGCCACTTACCCAATATTATGAATGCAGAATACACCTCTAGCGGTCGTCTACTTAGATCGATTTGTCGACCAAGATGATGAATTGCAATTTTCTGTCGTATACGCCACGTATACACTGACTCCAAATTCAATGATTCCTCTCTACAGTAACTTTGTATAGCACAATGTGATAGAATAGCCTATCTAACATCTCGATCGTATCGGAATTACCAAGTATATTTGATTTTGGTCACCTGACTTACCCACTCATTTGCCTACATCTACCTGGTTTTCATTCTATGGTATTAAGGGTTAATCAATACAACCACTCCAATTCTATGACTTATTGTGTCCAATCAACTGTCTTGCTTTTTATGCACCAATTTGGTCCCAGTTCTCGAACATATAACCCTTGCATAGAGCTTATCAACATCATTGAACCGTTGAGAAAAATATCTATGCATGGCGATGATTGCACGACTTGATTTGGCGTTATAATCGATGCAATAGTATGGTGATGTTAAGGTGGAAAACCTACAAATGAAAATATGCCTTGAGGGACTCTAGATCCTAGCTATTTGATTGGCCAGGTACGCAAAAGTATTAACTAGGTACGATGACTATCATGTGATATAACATAATCATGCAAGATACATGATAGTCTAAATTATCATAATTTAGCTTGCGTTATTTAAAGTGCTGGACTCAACTTGCAGCCATGTAGGTCTACAGTGAACATGCCTTTTTCTTCCTAACATTTGCGCACTCGAACTCAAAAGATACAAAATGTCGAAATCAACGATGTCGTATAGTCTGAATGATAGATTCCCAAAGGCGGCGGTCAAATCAATTCGCGCTTTGCTGGGAATTCTATCACGCACTCGAGGTGTACTGGTAGACGAGCAGCCAAATGGCGAGATAGCACCAGGTCTTATCTCAGTTGCGGATGGCCACATACACCTTGCAGGGTTAAATGACTCCCATTACGATTCAACAACTTCCCATCTAGAGGACTTCCTGAACCGTCTCTGTGAAGCGCTTGATACCGTTGGTAGGGATGCAGAGGCAGACGCCTTCAGACATGCTTTGCAACTATATCAGACTGACAGAGAGCGCCTGCCCCTTGGACCTGGCGAGTTGATCTCTAACCGACAGCTCAGCAACGACTCGTTCGAGGATTTGGAATTCCTTGTTGAAGCGTGGCTAGAAGCGCTGAATTCTGAAGAATCTGCCAGAAAATTACCAGCTCCTTTGCCAGGAAAACTCCCCGATACTCGGGCCATGACGCTGGCGGAAAAGATACTGGCTCATCACGCATTTTCACTCCCGTCTCCTGATGGCTTGAAATCTGGAGACCTGATAAGGGTCTCTATAGACTGGATTATAGCAAGCGAGCTATCTTGGGTGGTACGTCACACCAAAACTCATATTTACCTACAAGCAAGAATATCAATTAACAACTCGATAGGGCATGAAGCATGGTATGGTCAGCATTGGAGAACAACCATCAGTCTGGCGAAATGATCGCTTTTGGCTGGCCGGAGATCATACCGTTGAACCACGGACTTATGGCCAACCTCGCGTACGAGAGCTTCTCGACGGTTTGAATGATGCCAAGCACCAATTCAAGATGACAGAGAATCAAGGATCGAATGTATCGTCTCCATAACAAAATATTTTACCGTTGTGCCTCGCTTACTGACATTATGGCAGTACACCATTCTCCATACAGAATTCGTTCGCGAACGAGCTGAACCAGGGATGCTCGCACTTGGTTCTGACTCGCATACCTGCTCAGCTGGAGCTGTCAGTTGTCTCGCAATCGGACTCGGAGCGGCTGATGTGATGACAGCACTGGCGACAGGCGAAACGTGGATCAAAGTTCCCGAGTCCATCAGAATTGACTTCACTGGAGAGCCAGCTTGGTACATTCGTGGCAAGGATGTCATACTCTACATCCTGAAAGAACTCAAGCGGAACACCTTCGCTGCGGACAGAATCGTAGAGTTCGGTGGCCTTGGAGCTAAATTTCTCTCTTGCGATGCACGGTTTGCAATAACTAACATGTGTACGGTGAGTTGTCTTGAGCCGTTTGCTTCATCTTAGAGACTTATAAGTAAAATTTAGGAGCTCGGCGGCGTCACAGGTATCTTTGTTCCGGATGAAGTTACCAACGCATTCGTATCAGGTCGATCTCAAAGCAAGTATAAGTCAAATTCCCTCTATTTCCAAGTCGATAAAGATGCTTCTTACGCAGCTACATTTCAGATTGACCTTAATCTGGTCGAGTCCTTCATTGCTCTGTATCCGTCGCCGGACAATGTCGTGCCTGTGTCGGATGAGCTTGACATGAGTTTTGAGGGCTGCTTCATAGGCGCTTGCACAACCACTGAAGAAGAGCTGGTCCTTGGGGCGCTGGTACTCGAAGCCGGTCTCAAGAATGGCCTCAGTTTAGCTCCTGGAAAGCGTATGGTTGTCCCGGGAAGTATACCAATTGTTAACAGCCTGAGAGACTTGGGATTGTTAGATATATACGCACAAGCTGGCTTCGAACAACCAGCAGTCGGCTGCAGTTTGTGCCTCGGAATGGCAGCAGATCGAGCCGGCGAGGGAGAGAATTGGATTTCATCTCAGAATCGTAATTTCAAGAATCGAATGGGCAAAGGTTTATCATAGCTTTCATTGTCGCGCTGAAGTATTGCTAATTCTTCAACAGGGTCGACCGGACATATCTGCTCAGCAGCGACTGTGGCTGCGTCATCATTCAGCATGAAATTGACCAATCCTGCTGCGTTGCTAGCTCAAGTCTCCTCTGATCGGTACAAATTGCTGCTTGAAAGCTGCCAAAGCTACAAGAACCGAACGGGAAGAGTCAGATTCCCGAAAAAGGATAGCATCCGAGGCTCTGTATCCGCGATGCCGCCATATGTGGAGCCATATCTACATTCTCGACCACATTTGACTGATAAGAATATTCAAATTCATGCCACAAGCGAGGTCGAACAGGAAACAGATGGCAACCTCGACGTCATTGAAAGCAAGGTATATGCTCTTGGAGACTTCGTCGACACAGATGCAGTAAGTAGAGTCCTCTATGTTTGCCTTCTTGATTTTTCCCGAGAGACGTTGACTTCAAGCTTGCTGATAACGTTCAAGATTATCCCTGCCGCATTTATCCTCGAGAGCCCAACAGATGTTCTTCTCGGTAATCATGCCCTAGAGTTCACTAACCCTGACTTCCGCGACAAAGTACGTCAAGGCATGCGTGTAATTGTAGCTGGTAAAGCATTTGGTTGCGGCTCATCTCGTGAGGAAGCACCACGAGCTTTGAAAGGTATGTCTTAAGCTATTCTTCGTTTGCACATATTGTCACAATCCTAGTGTGTCTATTTAGAGATGCTCAATTTTCCGTGATAAACACTTTCGTCTGGTGGCTAATAACAATTGGCATGACTAGGTCTTGGTGTGCAATGCGTAATCGCAAAATCGTTCTCTTTCATCTACGGTCGCAATCAACCCTCCATCGGCCTGCTGGGTATCAACATTGTAAACGAGAGCTTTTATGAGCTCGCCAGAACAGGCGCAGGTATCAAAATTGATCTTCCTGGGAGGATTGTGCAGGTTGAGGGGCGGTCTTTTCCTTTTGTGCTGGATGATATGGAGCTCTCTTTGATCAAAAGTCAAGGATTAGCTACAGCATACAAGAAATTTGGCAAGAACGTGTTCGCATCGCTGTGCGGCACTGAGAGTTCTGTAATGGCGTCAGAGCTTGCAGAGTTGAAGTTGAAGAGTGTTGGTGATGGAATGAGGACAAGTCTCGCTTGGTAGGGGTTATATTTGATCTAACATATATCAGTAGCTTATAGATATAGCCTCAAATAGGCTTGAGTACATAGGAAACCGTTAAAGGTATTGGTGAGAGCATCGCTGTATATTGTAATACATATATATCGTTTAAGAAATAAACTAAGGGTAAGGACTCTATTACGATAATTATTAATAATCTTATTAGCTTTATAACCAGAGAGAGATAATTAAGATGTATTTCTTTTTAAAAATGTTGTATCTTTAATGAAAAGCGAAAGATTAAATCCACAATATTCAATCTTATTTAATTAGATAGCTTTCTTTTAAAAACAATACATTTCATAATAAGAAAAATACATCTAAAAAGAAGGAATCAATGTACTCTTTCTTTCTTCTTATATACATGGAATACTGTATATCAGTACATTAAATCTAAGTAATTAATAATAAGAATATTATTATAAAATTGATATTTCTAGTTATCAATCAAGATGACAGAGATCGTTATGTGCGTCCACAAGAATTCTCACTCGTCAAAGATGTGTCTTGAGAGAATTTAAAAGTTCATAGCTGAGCTAAGAGCTGATTAATTATTCTTGTTAAATTACCCTGATATGACAGATATCTAGCAGCAGAGAGTACAGCCGAATTATGTCGTTGTTTTACAAGAAGCATATATGCTTCATCTAAGAGTGCTCCTACACAGAGACACCGGGAGATAGACCAGCCCCAGTCGTCTCTTCTTCCGAGGCATTTTCAGGCTCACTATCAGCAGCCCGGAGCAGAGATGCGAATTTCGATGGCTCAAGGGCAAGTATCGATGGTTTTCCCTGCTCTACGATACGTCCTGCTTCGAGCACGATGACTTCGTCGTAGTCCATAATGGTGTTCAGGTTATGGGCAACACAAATAACAGTTCGATCCTGAAATCTTTCTCTGATGATGTCGACCATCTTGGCCTCGGTCTTCTTATCAACACTGTAGTACGCAAAGTTAGACGCTGTCATAGCTGCAAAATATATAGATCTAAAACCGCGGTCATAGAGCTCGTGTGGGGGGCTTACCTGCTTGTTGATTCGTCCATGATGAGTATCTTGTTAGGTCGAAGTACTGCACGAGCCAGACAGAGAAGCTGCGACTGGCCGTGAGATAACGGGTCTTCATTCGCCATGGCATCCAAACCACCCTTCTTATCGATCACTTCCCGCATTCCGACCACGTCTAGAACATCGAGAAGCTCTTCGGTAGAGGACTGACCTCTGATATCGAGGTTTTCCCGAATAGTAGCATGATAATAGAAAGGTTCTTGTGGTAGCGTGATGAGCTTCGACCTGAGCTCCTGTCGCACAACAGTCGATATGTCTATCCCATCGATTGTGATTGTTCCACTACGTAAGTCAATGAGCCTCAGTAGGGCCGCAATAGTTGAACTCTTGCCACTGCCCACCAGTTAGCATCAGTTCTCTCACATACTTGGATTCGATAACTTCAGTTATAATTGATGCTTACCTCCCTGTTCTACCACATATGGCAACTTTTGCGCCAGCTTTGACAGAAAATGAAAGATTGTTGAGGACAGTATGAGAAGTAGGCCTGCGAAGAGTGTCAGCATTATCAACCTGGTGGGTTGTTACTGTCGAAAAGCAATTTGAGCACTTACGAATAAGCTGCTGATACATTGTGAAATGTGATCATGCCTTGGTGCGGCCAGTCTGGTGGCAAAGTTTTGTCTTCGCCTGGCTGATCTTCAGAGCTAGTGTGAATCGCGAAGTGACGTATTCTGGAGATAGCGCCCATCGCAACTTCCAAAGATGCCCAGTTGTATACGAGGCTCTTCAAGCTGACCCCAAACCCTACAATACTGACCAATGCAACACCTACTTTCGCACCTGAGGTGTCTCTGGTTGTAACGACTATACTAACCAAAATAATGGCAAGGAAAGCAACGGCCAATTCCAATGTTAGATTAAGCCATCGCTGGGCGCAAAACAAAAGGTAAAAAGGACGTTGGGATCTTTCGAGCAGATCATAATTCCTGCAGGCAAACTTTTCAGTCCAGCCAAACGCGCGGACCGTGACCAAGCCATTGATGGATTCCATAAAGTGGGATAAAAGCGGTGCTTTTGCTTCTAGATCCAAGAGTCTCAGTTGCCGTGAAGTCCTCAGGTAGAACAATTGAACATAGTAAAGAAGAATAACCAGTCCAAAAACTGCAGCTGCTACGTAACTTGAGCCATAGATGATGACTCCAACCTGGGCAATGCACGACAAGAAAGTGATGGTGGTGCCAATGAGGGCCGTTGGGAGCTCCATGTCGATAAGCTCCAGGTCTTGGCTGAATCTGTTTGACACTTCTCCACTATCCGTAGTAGAGAAATATGCTAGCGGGGCTCTATATAACCGCGTAAGTGGGCAGGGAGGTGATGGGATATTATGGGAGCTGAACTAACCTCAGGGCCGAATTTAAAAGTACTCTATGAAACTTAATGGCAGCTTGTGGCACCATTCTGATCATTAACCACCTGGAGACTTGGTTAGTGTTGTATCTGCGAGGATTAACTTTGACACGACATACGAGCAAGCTCCAAGAAATATCACGATAGCCATCACCGACCAAAGAGCGTATAGCGACAGATAGTACCCAAGTCGATGGTTGGCTTCTTTCGCATTCGCTTCCGTCCAGAACTGAATCCAAATTTCTTCAATTAAAGTCAGCTGGTTCAGGGTCTCACGGCATGTTAGGGGACACTACGAACGTGGAAAGACCAGGCCGAAAACGAAGCCAGAGCAAAGCAGAACAAAAAACCCCCAAGTTACCCACCCTACCGTATCAATGTAATACCTGTAGATGGTCAAGTCACTCTTTCGCTTGTCATCAATATCGCTAGGTTGATACGGAGTCCTTGCAGCAGCTAGACCTGGGACTGTATCGTCGTCGATTTTCTCCGGCTCGCTTGCGTTGAGCGTCTTCTCTCGAGTGCCGAGACTCTCAAGATAGCTACTGGCGTAGACCAAGTTTCGATATGTACCTTGATCAATGATCTTGCCATCTGGTCCCAGAACAACTATGTGATCTGCTAGCGAGATATTGCGAACTGGAAGTGTTAGATGTTAGTCGCAAAACAAAGGACACATGACATACCCGAGTTTGTTGCAAGGACTGTCGTCGTACCTCCGCGTCTCAGTATGCCATGAGATCCTAGAACTGATTCAAAAACATGCCGTTCAGTTTTTGCATCGAGTCCGCTGAAAATATCATCTAGAATAACAAGATCATTCCTTGCGTAAAGTGCTCTTGCTAAAGCCTATTTTAAGTCAGACTCTGGAACCATAACGTTGGCAGTCACCTTTGCGTGGTATAGAAACACTAACAAGACGGCTCTTCTGTCCGCCACTCAATGAAACACCTTTACTTCCAATAACGGTATTGTCGCCATCTGGAAGTTGCGTGAAATCCTGATCTAAGGCACAAGCCTTCACCACTGTATTGTACCACCGTGCATCGAGGTATGAGACACCAATAATATTATCCCTGATACTGGCGTTTGTCAACCAAGGCAATTGTGCGCAAAAAGCAGCTTTAGACCTGCCTACGATTACTGTCCCTGTGGTGTGGGGCATCTCACCAAGCATGACCTTCAGTAAAGTCGTTTTCCCACATCCGATCGGCCCAATCACCATCACAAGGCTTCCAAGTAGTACCGTGATGTTAATACCAGATATTGCAGGGTCGGAACCCTTTTTCCAACTTGCCGAGCAATCTCGTATTGTGATTATCTTCTGATTTGCCGGAATTTCAGCCGGCAAACCTTCAGCGTTATGTGGATTGTAGGGACTTGGATCGACAGATCCCATGTCAAGCATTTCTGTCCCTGAGATATCAAAGGTACGCACCTCGGCCGGATTAGAACTACCGATGGGTTTGTTGTTTGATTCGATTGTCCTGGGATCGACCCTTGGGTTGGTTGCCAGATATTGTCTAACTCGCTCAAGACAAGCAATCGAATTGATGATGCCCACGGTGGAGCTGATCCATTTCGAGACAGCCTGGCCAAGAAGCGAGAATACTGTTAATGACGTGTATGCAGAAGCGGCCAATAATGGTGTGGTGCCTCTAAAGTTCGATATAATACTGTATGTTGCAAAGGCGAAGACGGGGGCCAAGGTGGTTGAAACATATGCTGTATAAATAGTTTTCTTAGCAACTAATAGGCAGCAGAATAGCTTTTCTTTCGACTTACACAATGTGACAAGACCGACAATAAGTTCTCTGTATTTTCTAGAGATCCGAATTTCATCCGATCTCAAACGCGTGATGATATTTTGGACGATATCGGTTGAGCCTGTTGATTTGATGCCTCTAATTGAGCCAAGTGTTGCAACTGTCGTGGTGATACGCGCCTCGATTGCTTCGAGCCAGACCTTCTGACGGCCGCTTAAGAGCATGCCCAACTTCACAAACCCAAATACGCAACCTGTTGCGCAATTTTTCATCAGTCATATTGACTAAGGAACAAGATCTTTGAGAAACGTGCATATCATACCTATAATAACCACAACAGCTGCGGCGACCGAGACCCCCAATCTTACCTCGAGCAACCAAAGAGAAAGGGCTATTTCGATCAAGCTGGCCCATATCTCATGAACGTCTCTCATTCCATGACCCATGCGCTCCACATCGTTGTTGATCAACGTCAAGGAGGAGCTAGTCGAGGCTGAAGAGCTACTTAGGCTCAAAGTATGGTGATAGATCAAGGATACCGCACTGCCTCGGATTGCAACAATGGCACGATAATTCTTGTGCTGAGAAATTGTTGACATGACCTACTACAAATCAGTAAATGCCATGGATTCTCATGAAGGGTTGAACATACTGCTATACCAATATAAACGATGGCGTAAGCTGCAATTAAGCCATAAGCGATCTTGTTGCTCGTTGCCGTCTCGGGTTGTTCAATAAAATTCACAACACGACTGACCAGAAACGGCTGAGCGTAATTCACGCCAGTTAAGCAGAGTCGAGGGATAATACCTGCTAGAAGCAGGCCTTTGAATGTGGCTAGCATAACTTTGAGGAGTGCATGAGGCTTTGAGTTATCAGCTACGACAGAGTGTCAACAATATGATAGTAGAGCGAGTGTGTGAACTGACCATTGGCCAGTCGGCGACGGATTATATCACGCCAGGCGTCGAAAGTAAGAGCATCGTCGTTGAAGAAAAGATCATTTACTACCAAGCTCTGCTTAAATCCAATCAAGAGTAGAGGATTGAACCACCAGAAGAAGCTACGATTCAGTGTCCCTGCTGTCTGCTCTGGTGAAGGGCATTTGAATTCAGGCCGAATCAGATTGCTCTTCTCCTTGGCTTCTAGAATAAGAATAATGAACTTGAAGCACACGATCGCCGTAAAGATACTTGCGATGGCAATGTTGTTAGGTATCTTGAATAGTGTACGTGCTCGAGCAGCATCCATCGGGATGGTGGCGAGCAAGTACAAGTTTAAGATGGTCGACGGGGTTGTAGATCTATAGTGCTCCCAATAAGACAGGACAATAAAGACGGGTGACGCTAGGAGCCCAATGACTATTGCTGCGTTGGACAGTTTCGTCGTTGATGTCCTCAATGTCAATGTGAGGATGAAGTGCACCAATTGAAGTAGCACAAAAGATATCCAACATAGCTAAAACGAAGACACGCATTCATCAGTAAGTATCCAGGCCTGAGCTGGGCATTGACGTTGACAGGCGGCACTTACTCGCTTGAGGATCGAAAGTATATTCTTTCGTATCACTGTCTCCTGTGCCTTCAGTTGCCATAATCGGATCAGCACCAGTGAAAGTGCGAGCAGCAAAGGACCAAGGTAAAGTATGCTTTCTTCAAATAACAGGGTAAAATCGAAGTTATCATAACATTCTGTCACTTGTGGCCCGAAGACGTTTTCCACTTCAATCTGGCATTGGGTCAATGGGGTCACCATAGTCGGTCTCAGTATCGAGAATAACACGGACTTCCAATGTCGTGAAGAGGACTTGCCACGATCTGATCACCTAGGGGAATGGCTTTAGGACGAGGCAATCTCATGGAGATATATAGAGTATGAATCGGCCATGAGAAATTGTGTCTGCGGACGGTGTAGACTTACAGTCGACCTCCAAAATCATTTTGCCTTGGCGGTGTCAGACGCTAGGGAGGCTGGTTGCCCCTGCAGGCTTACACCCCCCCCAAAGTTAAGTAATGTATAGCCGAGCCTAAGCTGATGCACAGTACAAGTACCTGGGAGCGCTCATCTCACACCGTACCACCTAGCCAGCATATGTGAATGGTGGCAAGCTAAACAATACTACAATCGGGGGTTGTTAGGTCAAAGAAGAGTGATTGATGGAGTCAAGTATAGGGGTGGTTAAGTCAAATATAGGGGGTACCCCATAATATATACATGCACTAAGGTATAACCGAGATTGGTCTAACAAACCCCTGTGGTTTGCCTATGGTAATTCTCTGTTCTCACGTAGAATTGGAACACTGTGACAGATCGTCGTGAAGTTATTCAATGACTAGTGTAAATATACCTAATATCAAATCTATCTCGTGGCGGGTATCTAGAATATCATTTCTTTACATGTACTACGCCCTCCACAATTTAGGAACTCCAAAAACCATTTGCTTAAACCTCCTAAACACCTCGAGCACCTCCTCGATAGAGATCGGATCGATCCAAAATTAGCCTAATCTAACTCCCTGAAAATCCAAAGAAGACAAATGAAATGAAAGAAATATCTCAACCAAATAGTCTGCGAATCCTCATCATTCTAGCCCGTAATGTCCGTTTTCCTGGTCACGATCCACCTCGTATTCCTCTTGCTTCGAACCACGGAGAATTGAGCCGGCATCATTAGGGTATACTGCGTCTCAAAAATCGCCATCTCTTAGAAAAAGACGCGCTGTTGCCTTGTACAGTAGATATCCGCGGCGGCCTCATAGAACCGATTACTACTATGGCGTTTGCTTCAACCCCATATAAGCTATGCTATCTTTACATGCATCATGATAAATATTGCCAGGCAATGACTGGTATATCTCCGTACTACTTTGATGCCCCGTTTTGCAATCTTTCACCGCTATGGAGCGACAACACCTGTTCGACAGGTAGAAGGGGATCATTGGCAATGAGCTGCACAGTGTCCCGAAGCGCGTCTAATAATCCAGCTGCAACGATTTCAGATATATTGGCAGGCAGGTAAGACAATCGTATTTCGAGCTCATTACCACGCTGGATTGTTGTAATCCCAACGTCAATTATCCACAAAGGATCTTTGATCTCCAAGGCAGAGATACTGTACTCAGTATCACGCATTGAGAAAGCGGAGTCCTGGCCAGATATGTGGTTGATGGCAGATGTGAAGCGGGTTGAGGTTGGCCAGTCGCTACACTTGTGCAGGATTTCGCGAAATCCTAGTTGGGAATGCTGCATACTTTGGATCTGCTGGTTACGCACGTTTTGTAGCAGATCCTTAATTGTCCATTGTTGCTCTAGTGTGACTCGAAATGGAAGAAGAGTGACGCAGCAGCCCATGGCGTCCATCAGAGATGGATCAGCTGCCGTTCGTGTTGATACAGTGTCCGCAAACACGATGTCGGTAATGCTCAGAAATTGAGACAGAACGAGGGACCACGCTGTCTTCATGAGAATCGCGCTAGTTGTGCCCTCGACCATGGATTCGGTCATCTCGATAGTACGTGACAAATCTTGATTGACCTTCAAGGGATACTGGCCGATCGTCGACGTTGATGGGCTGATTGCAGGCATACATGATCCCTTCAGAAGGTCTCGCCAATAGTCATAGGTATCATCACCTATGCTTTGCATCTGACTGTACAAAAAATCCGAGAATGTAGCTTGTGGCTGGATTGATGTACCCTCATATAATGATCGAAGATTCTGCCAGATGGTGCCCATTGAATGAGCATCGTATTCTGCATGAGTAAGACGAAGGAGAACCCTATGTTTCAATGTCCCAGTCTCCTGAATAATTGCAATTTGAGTGAATGGCTGACCCAAACCAATGGGTTGGAACATGTTCTTGGAGACTATATCCTCTGTGACGGCCTCCACAGTTGAATCGGTCTCGTAGACCTTGATTTCCGGCTCAAAAGCAGCTTGAACAACCTGGAAGAGTTGACCTTGATCGAACACATAAGCTGTACGTAATGTGTCAGTGATCTGAATCAGGTCAAGACAGCTCTTTTTGAGCGCCTGTGTGTCACATGGGCCATTGCCATCAAGGAGAAAGTGGGTGGTTCCCGATTCAGGTGCCGTCAAAGCTGTAGTCACGGTTGATGACTGAAAATCCGTAGTTGGGAGGATGTCAACAATGTCCTCAATGGCGCATCCGCTGACTGAATTTGCTAATCGCTGAATGAACTCGTCAATGTCGTCCGTCTCGATCAAGGCGAAAGGAGCGGGACCATCTTCGCTACCAATGACTTGGTGAATTAGTCGGTCGGTCAATCCTGCGGCTAGATCTGACAGGCACGGATGCTGGAATATATCGCTGACCCTCAGATTGAGATTGTGCAAGTGGGATGCCGCAACAACACGCATGGAAACTACCGAATCACCGCCAATCTGAAAGAAGTTATCGTGTGCCCCGACCTGTTCTGGAGGCACATCAAGTGCTTCCGCCCAGAGGGTCTGTAATTGCCGTTCCATGCTAGTAGATGGCGCCACTTTAGATCCTTCACGATCGAGATATTGCTGCAGCTCTTGCCTTGATAGAGCTCCTAATAACCCGCGCAGTAGCCTTCGATCGAGCTTGCCGGATAAGTTTCGATCTAGATTGGCAGTGGGTACAAAAGCTGACGGTATCATATAAGACGGTAAAACTTGGTACAGAGCCCCCCGCAAACGTTCGAAGTCGTCACGTAATGCATCCGTCGGCGCGAGTATCCGAGGACCTGAGATGTTCTCCAAGCCACGGCAATGATCACTATCTTTCGCAAACTCAATTGCTGCGATCAAGTTCAATTGCTCTGCTTCCGTATCTTGCTGCTGTGTCAATTCCACAGCTACCAATTCTGCTCCTGGCATGTGTCTTATAATTTGATGTTCGATCTCACCAACCTCAACCCGTTGGCCTCGAATCTTGACTTGTAAATCCCGTCGACCAAGATAAATCAGAGACCCGTCCTCATTTTGACGGACAAGATCTCCAGTACGGTACACTCGACGATTCTCTAAGCCTAGACGCTTGGTGAACTCAGGATCAATGATAAATAAATCACGGGTCTTCGCTGGGTCTTTGAGATATCCTCGCGCTAGAAGGGGGCCTTCAATAAAGAGTTCCCCGGGTGCTCCAATTGGGGACAGCTGACTACAATCAGGTTGTGTGATCCAGGCACACGTAGCTAATGGGTAGCCTATATTTGTGACCTGGTCGGAACTCGTTATTGGCTTGGTACAAGTGCTCATAGAGCCTTCCGTAGGTCCGTAAGCGTTGTAGATATCCGCATGGCCTAACCAAGTGTTGACCACGTCGGCGCGTACAGGCTCACCTGTCAGAATTAGGGTATGTAGTAGCGGTACCTGTGGAGGTGAGATTTGTCGGGCCACAGTGGACGTGAGCATAGCGACGTTGATATTCGTTGTGGCTATGAATTCGGTCAAGTTATTCATGCGAGCTTCCTCTGATGGAACGCAAACACATCCACCAAATATTGTCGTCGCAAATGTATCGGTAATAACGTTGTCAAATGTGTAGTTAGAGAATTGCAGGAATCTTGACTTTGGATTCAATCCTAGCCAGGACCCCTGTGCTTGGAGACTAGTCGACATTGTAACATGGTCAATGATCACACCCTTGGGAATTCCTGTGCTGCCTGAAGTGTGTATCAACCAAGACGCGTCATTCGGTCGCACTCCAGTCTCTGGGATCCCAGTCTGAGCTGGGAGCTGTTTAAACAGTTCTGCATCCATATTCACTAGAGTTAAAGTTGACTTTGTGCATAGTTGAGCAAGTCGCTGTTTTTGCTCCTCATCGACAATGATGATAGCTGCTTCGGAGTTGTTTACGATAGTCTCGATACGCATGAGCGGGTGCGATGTTCCTAACGGCATTATGGCAGCTCCTGCTTGCATGATGGAAAGCATTGCAACAGGTCCCCACTTCGACTTGTCCATACAGATTCCTACAGTGCCCCCTCTACCTACTCCAAGAGCAACAAGGTGGTGTGCAAGGCGTGCAGAGTTGTTGAAAAATTCGCCGTAGGTAAGATTACCGTCCCATGCATTTATCGCAGAAGCAGTTGGACTTCTCTCGACTTGGGCTTGTACCATTTCGTGGATACATTTGTTCACGTGCGGCGGAATAGTCGAATTCCATGCTAAGACCTGTTGCAAGTCTTCTTTCCCAATCGCCACGATGTCCTCGACTCGACATGATCTAGCAGACTGGGTGCAAAGTCGCTCGACTACACAGGCAAAGAAATCTATCACACGTCTCAATTGTGAAGAAGAGATAACGTCCTTGTCATAATGGACGTCTACCACGACCTCATGCGACGCGAGCTTACATTCGACGGTGAGGCCGTAGCTGTTAAAGGGCTCGATGGGCATTGGTACCGAACCAAGCCCTGGGAAGCCTAGTTGGACAGTGCTATCGCTGTCAGCAGTTGGCTGGACCACCAAAAGATTGCGTAAGTCTATGGCAGGTCCGAGGTCTGGTGCTAGCGCCTTGATTCCCTGTAGCCCGGTGTGTTCATAGTCAATCATATTCACCGCTTGTTGTTGGACTGTATCTAAGAACTCGGCAACTGTTTGTGTCGGCTCTACAGATATCCGTAATGGCACTGTGGTGATAGTTGGTGCTGGTATATCAGCAATTTGCCACACTGGAGCATTCCGACCTGAAACTGTCGCAGCGAACACTACGTCGTTATGGCCTGAATATTGGCTCATAACCAAGGCCCAAGCTGCACGGATAACATTGGATATCACCACAGTGCCTGAATAATGACTATCTGGTAGAGTGATAGCATGACTGAAATTGTTTTGCGGTAAGGGTTGATAGTCAGGGCGTGGTAGGGACGGCCAGTCTGTCACAACATCGCCTTGTAATTCGTTTCTCCAGTACGATACGGCATCGTTCTTGTCAGGGCGACCGAACTGAAGGTACCGGATGAAGCGTGAGAATGGAACAAAAGACTGCGGATCGCCACCATTGTAGAGATCAATGAGTCGTTTCCCAAGAGATCGGAGCGTCCAGCCGTCGTACAAGGAATGGTGAGATGTCCAAATGAAAAATGTTTCCCCAGATGGTTGTTTGACGAAGCCATACCGCACTAATGGCTCCCCAGGAGACATGCCGGCTCTGCGATCAGCTTGCAGATATCTATCCAAATCCGTGCCATATTGCCAAGTAGCCCTGTCGTTGACCACGACTTGGAGCCCGTGAGGCGCAACCAAGAGTCGAGTGCGAAGGATATGAGCTTCGTCGGACAAAGCCTGCCAGGCTGCTTTGAACCTGGCCTGGTCTACCGTGTCGTCCAAGGTATACACCTGTCGACTGACGTAAGCGGCAGGCTGTCTTGCCGTAATAGCTATGAGACCTTCCTGTAGGGGTGTTGCGGGATAGACATCCTCAATCTGGCTGACAGCGACACCACATTGAGCTGCAACTTCAGTTAAAAGCCTCTGCTGCTCCTCGAAGTTACAGCTAGCTGCCTCCTCCCAAAGTTCAAAGGGCAGTGGGTTCTCTTCTACCTTGGTGCTGAGGTCGAGCGAGCGGTTGCTGAGCGCATCAACTAAATCGGCAAGCTGAGGGTGCTGAAATATGTCTGCAACGGTGAGTTGAAGCTCACGAGAGTACGCCGCTGCCACTATGCGCATTGCTGTCACCGAGTCTCCACCTAAGTGGAAAATGTTGTCATTCATCCCCACAGAATCAACGCTAATGCCAAGTGCATCGGCCCAAAGACCTTGAAGTCGTCGTCCCAACTCAGTTTCTGGAGCTTGTATTGCATTTGTGCTACTGGGTAGGTATTGTTGCAAAGTATCTGGTGTTAGACCGGCAAGAACGGCTTGAACAGCTCGTCGATCAAGTTTATTTGAGCCGTTGATCGGCATTTGAGCTAGCGGTAGGTAGAAAGTGGGAACCATGTATGATGGCAGGACGTCGCTAAGTGACTTGCGTAGCTTCTCGAATGCATTTTGAAGAATTGGCGTCGGCTGTAATGCTCCAGAATCTAGAAGAACATTGGTGTTACGAGAATGCTCACTCGTATCATTGAAGTCCATCACAGCTACAAGTCGTATCTGCTCTCTCTGAAGACCTTGCTCCATTTTCTCGACCGAGACTGTGCGAGCACCAGCTAGCTGCTTCTTAATATAATATTCAATCTCTCCGATTTCCACTCGTTGACCACGGATCTTGACCTGAAGATCCTGGCGACCAAGATACGTCAGTGTGCCATCCGTATTTTGTCGCACTAAATCACCAGTTCGATACATACGACGTCCGGATAGGCCGAGTCTCCTAGTAAAGCCAGGGTCCGTCACGAAGGATGCGTTTGTTTTTTCCTTGTCGTTTAGATAGCCTCGGGCCTGAATTGGACCTTCGATTAGAAGCTCCCCAGGCGCGCCGATAGGGCAGAGGTAGTTGCAGTTGGCGGCATCCGTAACCCAAAAGCAGCAGGATAATGGCAAACCTACGTTCGATGCCTGACTGACCTCTTTAACTGGCTTACTGCATGACGAGTTGATGGAGCACTCGGACGGACCATAAGAGTTAAAAATAGTAACATGCTGCGACCAAAGCCCTACTGCAGTTGGAGTAACGGCTTCACCAGCTAGGATCATGGTCCGTAATGACGGAACTTCTTCCGGTATAAGCATTGACGCAACAGTCGAGGTAAAGTTTGCAAAGTTGATGTTCATGGAGACCATTGCCGTAGTAAGACTGTTGACTCGATCATGCTCCGAGGGAATACAGACACAACCACCTTTGCAAAAGGTCGTAAAGATATCCTGGATGGCAGCGTCGAATGTATGGGCCGCAAACTGAATCGTGCGGGTGTTGATATCCATCCCAAAGGCATATCCATGGGCCAAAAGACTGGTGCTTAGTGCTCTATGCTCCAACATGACCCCTTTAGGGTTGCCCGTGCTTCCAGAGGTATAGACTACCCAGGCCAAATTGCGAGGTGTCACCTCTGTCTGCAACACTTGTGTCTGATCCTGATTCTGGCTTGATAGACGCTCTATGAGCTTTGCATCGACATTGATTAGTGTGGCATGCACATCGGCTAGCCTCTCCCTTTGCGTGGCATCGACCAGCATCACGCTAGACGCCGAGTCTGCTAAAATGCTCCTGATTCGAGTCAAGGGGTGAGCGACGCCCAGAGGTACAACGACACCGCCAGCGTACATTACGGCTAGCATAGCAACCACGGCCCATTTTGACTTTTCCATGCACACTCCGACCATTTGCTCCGGTCCCACACCTAGCTGGCTTTGGAGATAAAGAGCGAGGGAAGTGGCTAGTTGGGAAAGCTCCCCGTAAGTGAGATCACCATCCCATCCGCAGATCGCAGGTGCCGTGGGTCGAGCGGCGACATGGATATCCACTAAATCATGCACACATATCTCTGTGTGCGATGGCACCGTCGTGTTCCACGCCAATATTTGGCGCTCGTCGTGTGCATTGAGCTGAATACTCTGCAAGGAGCATTCACTGTAGGTCGGGTCATGGAATTGTTGGACCACGTACTCGAACTGGTCGAGTACTCTCTCCGTATACGAGGTCGACGCGACGTTGACATCATAGCGAGCCTCGACTTCGATGATATCTGATCCTAGCGTGCACTCGAGATGGATGCCGAAGCTATCAAAATCCTCAAATGGCACTGGGAGGGCCGTTAGTCCTGGGAATTCAATGCCGTTATCGCTTTCCGCTGCAATTTGCACCACAAGAACATTACGTAGCTCCAAGGCCGTGACTGCTTCAGGCACAAGGGCTTTAATCTTTTGTAATCCGGTGTGCTCGTAGCGAATCATGGAGGTTGATTGTTCCTGAACTGCTTGAATGAACTGTCTCACCGTAATGGTACGGTCTACTTGCACTCTAACAGGCACAGTAGTCAGAGTAGGACCCACAATTTCACCAATTTGCCAGACGGGAGCATTGCGGCCAGAGACAGCGGCCGCAAACACAACGTCCCGATGTCCTGTATACTGCGCCATCACTAAGGCCCAGGCAGCCCGAAGTATGTTGGAAGTCAGAATCTCTTTGCTAGGACCTCCTGAAACTCTGATCGTCTTCTTTGCCCGATGTCGTGGCTTTGGCTGGTAATCGACACTTGGCAGTGGTGGCCAGTCAGCCATTACGTCGCCCTGTAGTTGCTGACGCCAGTAAGTTGCCGCAGCCGACTCATCACTTTGAGTGAGATAGTAGATGAAACGTGAGTATGGTACGGGAGGAGGCATTTGGTAGCCGGCATTGTTAATGTTATTGTATGTCTCAACAAGGCGCTGGCAGATTGAACGCATAGTCCAGCCATCATATATACAGTGGTGAGCTGTCCAGACAAAGAAGCATTCGCCGGTGGTTTGCTTGACAAGACTGTACCTCAACAGCGGCTGGCCTAGGGTGATGCCCTCGTCGATGTCCTGGTTCACATACGTAACGAGGTCTGTACTTAGTCGCCACTCGATAGCGTCGTAAAGCACCACCTGCATCGACTGGCCGTTCTGCGTGATCACCAATCGAGTCCGGAGAATAGGGGTAGCATTGGCCAGCATCTGCCAGGCTCTTTGAAATCTGTCCAGTTCGATCACCGTGGCGTCGAATGCGTATATTTGGCGACTCACGTAGGCAGCAGATTGTCTTGCTGTAATCGCTATCATACCTTCTTGGAGCGGCGTGCAAGGGTAAATGTCTTCGATCTGGTTCACAGTGACATCGCATTTGGATGCAATGTCTTCCAGGAGTTCACCCTCATCTAACACTTTGCTTGTTGTGCTTGACCAGAGAGCAAATGGTTGAGGATCTGAGTGGAATACCTCATCGTTGTTTGTTCGTTCAGCCAAGATTCCCGCCAGGTCCGACAAGCGTGGGTGAGAAAAGATGTCTGCGACGTTCAATCTTAGTTCACGAGCTTGGCTCATAGCTACAATACGCATCCCAGCTACCGAGTCACCCCCGAGCTGGAAGAAGTTGTCGTGAGCACCTACTCTGTCCGTGCTTATACCTAGAGCTTCAGCCCAAAGGGCTTGTAATCGAAGTTCCATATCAGTTGATGGTGATGCTTTAGCTTCTCCATCCAGATATTGTTGAAATGTGTCGGCGGGTAAAGCTTCTAGCATATTCCTCAGAGTCTTACGATCAAGCTTACCCGAGATATTTCGCGGCATTTCAGCGACAGATACATAAGCTGATGGCACCATGTATCCGGGGAGTACTTGAAACAAGGTCCCACTAAGCTTGATAAAGACTTCCCGTATTTCTTCGGTTGGAGCAAGCATACCGAAGGACGTGATATCGCTAGTGTGATACTGACTTTCATCCGCAAAGTCCAAGGCTGCAACTAGAACAGGCTGGCCTTGTGTGCCCAGCTTCAGTAACTCTACAGCTACAGTACGAGCCTCTGGTAGATGCTGCGAAATCTGGGTCTCGATTTCTCCGATCTCAACCCGCTGACCGTGTATCTTAACCTGCATGTCACGCCGTGCGACGTAAACTAGTGAGCCGTCGTTCTTCTGACGCACAATATCGCCAGAACGATACATTCGAAGCCCACGCGGTAGATTGAAGTGGGCTGTAAAAGCCGGGTCGACAATGAAAGCAGCACCAGTCTTGCTTTCATCATTCAAGTAACCTCGGGCCAGTTGAGGGCCTTCAATCAGAAGCTCACCCGGAGCTCCAATAGGGCACAACTTGTTATAGTCTTCTATATCAACTACCCATAGGCGCGTCCCAATAGGAAACCCAATGTTATGGAGCTCGTTCACGTTCTTGGTTGGCCCCGCGGCAGTAGAAAAAATCGAACATTCCGATGGACCATAACAGTTAAAAAGATTGACTTCCGTCATCCATATCTTCACCACATCGATTGTTGCTGGCTCCCCTCCTAGTACTAGGGTATGTAGACTTGGTACATCCTTCGGAGAGAACAAACGAGCGACCGTATATGTCATGGCAGCAGAATTGACTCCTGTCAAACGCATGAACTCCGTCAGCTTATGCGTGTCCATCCGATCCTCTTCAGATGGAACACAGCATATACCTCCCCAAGAAAGAGTTGTAAAGAAGTCTTCAATCGTGCCGTCGAAGGTATGCGCTGCGTAATTGATTTTGCGTGTATGATAGCCAAATCCATACCTAGCTCCATGCGCTTTGATACTCGTGCTCAGAGCACCGTGCTCCAAGACTGCTCCTTTAGGTGTGCCCGTCGTTCCTGAAGTGTAGATAACCCATGCGGCGTCGATATGAGTGACCGGGGTCTTTGGGCCCGCTATTTGAGCGGGCAGGTGTTGGTTTAGATAGCTTGAATTGACCAACAGTCGTCTAGGACTTAGTCCAGCAAGGCGCTCGTCTTGGACGGCGTCTACAAGTACCATGCTCATCCCCGTGTCCTGGATGATAGTATTGAGCCGCGTTGTTGGATGAGTAACTCCCAATGGAACAACTACGCCTCCCGCTTTGAGTACTGCTAGCATTGCCACCACTGCAAACAGGGACTTTTCCATACACACACCCACCATCTGATCCAGGGCAGACCCAACGCCGAAAGACACGAGTTGGTGTGCGAGGCTATTGGCTAGATGGTCTAGTTCGCTATAAGTGAGCTGTCCATCCCAAGCCAGAACTGCCAGAGCCAGTGGGCGCGCGAGGGCCTGCTCTTGTACGAGCTCATGTATGCATTTAGTTACACGCTGAGGTCCAGTTGCATTCCATGTTGAGATCTGCATTTTGTCTTCGGGGTTGATCAGATTGACATCCCTTAGCTGATGTGTTCTAATAGACGGATCACATAGTCGTTCAACAATGTATACGAACTGGTCCAGAACCCTGTTCATATGGGGTGTTGGGACAACACCCTCGTCGTAACGTGCTTCAACACCAACCTCTTGCCCCAACGTGCACTCAATGTTCACTGCATAGGCGTCAAAGTCCTCGACGTCCGCTGGAACAAGCGTAATTCCAGGAAAATCAAGATGCGTATCGCTCTCAGCAGCTGGCTGGATGACGAGAAGGTTTCGAAGCTTCAACACCGAATCACTCAGTTCTGGGGCAAGCGACTTGATCACTTGCAGACCTGTATGTTCGTGGTTGATCATTTCAATAGCTTGTTGTTGAATATGGTGCAAGAAGTCATACACAGTGCCAGTGTGGTCGAAGCGCATTCGTATAGGTACTGTGGTGATTGTTGGGGCAGCAATATCGGTCACGTCTCTGACTGGTGCACTGCGACCAGAGACGTTAGCTGCATATACTACGTCGTTCTGACCAGAGTATTGTGCCATCACTAGGCCCCAGGCGGCTCGCAATATGTTGGACATCACGATATCCTGACGCTCAGCATGAGGCAAAGATATACGCTTTTTGAGCGAGTGCCGTGGTCGGGGTTCATAATTGGGTTGAGGAAGCAAAGGCCAATCTGCGGTTACTGAATCTCCCTTGAGCTGTTCACGCCAGTATTCGATGCTCTCCGCACTATTCGTTTGGGTGAGGTATTGGATGAAGCGTGAATACGGAATAGATATAGGTATATCTTCATCTTGTTGGTAAAGACTTATGAGCTGACTGCATAACAAGCGAATAGTCCAGCCATCATATATACTGTGGTGGGCTGTCCAAACAAAAATCTGCTCGCCAGAGGGTAGTTCGACAAGACCGTAGCGTGAGAGCGGCTGACCTGGTCTTATACCTTCGTCCTTATCCTGCTGGATGTAGTCCTCTAGACTTGAGCTGCATCGCCAAGTAATCTCGTCACGTACTACTACCTGTAACGAAGCACCTGGTCCCACAACGGCGCGTGTTCGTAAGATAGGAGTGCTTGCCACTAACTTGTGCCATGCCTTTTGGAAGCGAGGTACGTCGATTTGATTAGACAGAACATATGCTTGACGGCTTACGTACGCAGATGGCTGACGTGCTGTAACAGCTAGTAGACCCTCTTGTAGTGGCGTACATGGATAAATGTCTTCGATATCTTCGATGGAAACATCGCACTGCTCTGCAATAACTTCGATTTGTCGTCTTTGCTCGTTTAAACCGCCACTAACGGCACCTTCCCATAATGAGAATGGCTCCGGATCTTCGCCCATGACGTCGAGGTCGTTTCTTCCACGTTCAGCCATCACACATGCTAGGTCGGATAACCGTGGGTTTTGGAAGATGTCTGAGACAGTTAATTGCAGCTGGTTGGTTTGTGTCGTCGCCGATACTATTCGCATTGCTGTGACTGAATCGCCTCCAATCTGGAAAAAGTTATCATGAGCGCCGATCTTGTCCATGGCAATATCCAGAGCTTCAGCCCATAGACACTGAATGACTTTCTCCATCTCTGTTGAAGGTGCCTCCTGGGATAACGTTTCGTCAATCATATATCGTGCCAGGTCGCTAGGTGGTATCGCTTGGAGCAAAGCATGGACTTCTAGTCGATCGAGTTTGCCGGAGAGATTTGTAGGCATCTGTGCCAACGGCAGAAAAGTTGCAGGCACCATATAGGATGGTAGGATTTCAGTCAGCGACTGGCGAAGCTCGTTGAAAGCGTTTCTTAGTTGAGGAGTTGGAGCTAGGGTTCCCAGTGATTCTACCTCCCCCGGGTAGTGCTCGCTGTCACTCTTGAAGTCTACAGTTGCAACCAGACTAATGTTGGCACCATCCTCTAGCATTGCTACTACTGCTGCATGAGCTCCTGCCAAGTGACGGACGATCTGATATTCAATCTCGCCAACTTCCACTCGTTGGCCTCGTATCTTGATCTGATTGTCGCGCCGACCGAGGTATATAAACGATCCGTCCTCATTCTGACGTACTAGGTCCCCTGTGCGATATATGTAACGGGTTGAAGATAGACCTGTTTGTTGCTCTGTAAATGTAGGATCCACGACGAACGATTCTTTGGTCTTCGCACTGTTGAGGTAACCTCTAGCCAATAGCGGTCCTTCGATCAGAAGTTCGCCTGGGGCACCAATAGGGCAAAGCTGATTATAATTGTGTAGTTGCGTTACCCAATGTAAGGTAGACATCGGAAATCCAATATTGTCTGCTTGATCAGGACTTGAAAGTGGCCCATTGCATGTACAGACCGAGCCCTCGGATGGTCCGTATGTGTCGTAAAGTGCGACTGAATTCATCCATAACTCGACAACTTCTGGTTTGACTGCTTCACCGGTCAATGCCAATGTGGCTAATGATGGCACTTCAGCGGGCGAAAGCATTTGTGCTACAGTTGGAGTAAGACTAGCAAAATTGACCTTCATCGCCCGTATAACTCCCGGTAGGTTGTTGAGGCGGTCGCTCTCGGATATAACGCAAATACATCCACCATAGATCAAGGTCGCTGATACATCAGAGATGCTTACATCGAATGTAAAGGGTGTAAATTGTAAAGCTCGGGTCTCGGATGATAATCCCATTTTCTCACCCTGGGTTCTCATGCTCGTGCAACAACCCCCATGTTCTAGCACGACGCCCTTAGGAGTACCGGTACTACCTGAAGTGTAGATAATCCACGCAGCGTTGCGAGATGTCACTCCAGTCAGAGGAGGTTCCGTGTTCATCGGCAATGTCTTTAGCAAGGAGGGATTTACTGTAATTAGTTTAACATTTCGGCTGAGATCAGCAAGACGACTCTTGTGATGTAGGTCGACGAGGATCACGTCGATAGAAGCATCCTCAATAACAACGTCAAGTCGAGGCAGAGGATGTGTAACGCCAAGTGGGACTACCACTCCGCCGGCAAAAAGAATTGACAGAATCGCAACAATAGCCCATTTGGATTTGTTCATACATAGCCCTATCTTCTTCTCCGGACCAATGCCGAGACTAGCAAGCTGATGGGCCAGACGTAGGGCCTGATCAGCTAGGTCGCTGTATGAAAGCTCGCCGTCCCATGCGCATACTGCTTTTGCTTGAGGTTGGGACATCACTTGCTTATAGAACAGCTCGTGAATGCAAGTGTCTACCCGACGTGGTAGTGTGCCGTTCCACTGCAGGATCTGTTCGTGATCTTCAGGACCGACAAGGACAATATCATTTAAGCGACAGGGTTTGGATGTGGCAGTACCGCTTAGCTGTCGTACAAGATGTGCAAATTGGGCGAGGATTCTTTTGATCGATGACGACGGTATGACATTGTCATCATAGCGGAGGGCGATGCTCACTTCGTCCATACCGAGTGTGCACTCAGTAAGAAGTCCATAGCTGTCAAAGTTCTCTTTTCCAAGCGGAAGTGCTTCGATACCGGGGAAGTGGTCAGCTGCTCCTTGTTCTTCAGCTGTTTGCACTACTAGAACATTTCGAAGGTCTAATGTCGGACCGAGCTCAGGAACTAGAGCCTTGATAGCCCTCAAGCCAGTATGCTCATAATCTATCATTTGCGCAGCCTGCTTTTGTATAGCGAGGAGAAATCCAGCTACATCCTGCGTCCAATCGACTTGGATACGTACTGGTACAGTAGTAATAGTAGGGGCAATAATACTATCCACTTGCGGAATAGGTGCGTTTCGACCAGATACCGTAACCGCAAAGACTATATCACTATAACCTGTGTGTTGTGCCATTATAAGAGCCCAAGCAGCACGAATCACATTGGAAGTGGTAACGGCGCTCCGAGACTCACACTGAGGAAGTGGAAGAATTTGTGTCATTTCATGCTGTGGCTTTGGCTGGTAGTCGATGCGAGGGAGCGGAGGCCAATTCGCCATCACGTCTCCTTGAAGCTGATCAGCCCAAAAGGCTGCATTGTCCGCCGTTGCTACCTCTTTTCGAGCAAGATAGCGAATGAATCGAGTAAAGGGCTGCGTGGGTAGTAGACTGCCCTGGAAATATATATTGGCAAGCTGTCGATACATCAGAAGCGCACTTATGCCGTCGTACACGCTATGATGAGCCGTCCATACAAAGTAACGCTCATTGGAACCTCGCGCTCGGACCAAGCCAGATCTCACAAGGGGCTTTCCGAGAGCAATTCCCTCGTCTCGATCCGAAGCTATATAGTCCTCTAGATTGTCGCTAGCTCTCCATGGGTCACTTCCACGCACCACGACTTGGAGAAATGATTGCAGTCCTTGACTTGTGAGGATGCGTGTTCGCAGGATCGGAGTTGCCTCTGAAAGAGCTCGCCAAGCTGCCTGAAAGCGATCTAAGTCAATCGTATCGGCAAGCTTGTAAACCTGGCGGTCGATATATGCCAATGGCTGTCGTGCTGTGATGGCCATAAGCCCTTCTTGTAACGGTGTGCACGGATATACATCCTCGATATCGTTGACGGGGATGCCACATTGCTTAGCAATCACATCCAGTTTTTCTTGTTGCTGTTCTGATCCGACTTTCTCCTGTAACCAAAGCGAGAACGGTTCAGGGTCTTGTTCTACTTCTTTATTGACGGAACGCTTAGCAAGAAGTTCTGCTAGCTCAATCAACCGCGGGTGTTGGAACAAATCCGCTACTGTCAATTGTAATTCGCGAGCCGATTCTGTAGCTACCATGCGCATGGCAACCACCGAATCTCCACCAATTTGGAAGAAATTATCGTAGATACCCACTTGGCCGAAGGAGAGGCCCAATGCTTCAGTCCAAAGGGAGTGGACTAGGCATTCTGCTCTAGTGGAAGGTGCCGCTTTATCATTGCTGGCTGACAAGTATTGCTGTCGGCTATCAGGCGTCATGGCCCCTAAAAGGTCGCGGACTGCACGGCGGTCGAGTTTGCCATTTACATTCAACGGCATGTCTGCAATTGGAACGTACATGCTCGGCAGCATGTACGTCGGCAAAACTTGGAATAGCGATCCTCGTAGCATTTCGAATGCAAGCGACAGGGAAGGGGTAAGCATCAATAACCCTGACGGAGCCACTGCCCCATGACGGTGCTCACTATCCTCAGTAAATTCTATCACCGCTGTGAGGATTACCTGTGACCCGGTGCTGTCTTGCTCAAGTAGTTCTACAGCCACAGTCCGAATTTGAGGATGTTGTGCAATTTGATATTCAATTTCGCCAATCTCCACACGCTGTCCTCGAATCTTGATTTGCGTATCACGTCGCCCAAGGTGCGTGATAGATGAGTCCTCGTTCTGTTTAACAAGGTCTCCAGTCCGGTACATGCGGGTACCGGATGGCAAGTCAAACCTCTGAGCAAATCTAGGATCCGAAACAAAGGCAGCTCTCGTCTTCCTAGCGTCATTGAGATATTCTCGTGCTAATAATGGACCCTCAATAAGCAATTCTCCAGGAGCCCCAATTGGGCATAGTTGGTTGTAGTCCACATCGGCGACCCATAGTCTTGTGCCCATTCCTGTGCCAATGACTGCCGACTGGGTTGCATCTTTCAGAGGTTCCCCACAGGAGGAATGAATAGAGCATTCTGAGGGTCCGTACGCATTGAGGACTATGACATGGCCTAGCCACTGCTCCACGACGTCTGCCTTAACAGGTTCGCCCACCAGAGCAATTTGTTGCATCGACGGCACCTCACGGGGGTCGATTAGACGCGCAACAGTCGAGGTAAGGGTGGCAAAAGTAACTCTCATTTGGCGCATAGCGGCTGTCAGGTCACTCATTCGGTCGTTCTCGCTTGGGACGCAAACCACGCCCCCCCAGGACAATGTAGTAAAATAATCTTGAATGCAAGCATCAAATGTATGCGCAGCGAATTGCAACATCCTTGTGTTTGTGTCCATGCCAAATCTAGCACCGTGGGCTTGTATACTACTGCAAAGGGCGACGTGCTGTAGTACAACTCCCTTCGGCTTGCCAGTACTACCGGAAGTATAAATTACCCATGCGGCACTGTGTGGACTGGTGCTATTTAGCAGTACTTGCTTCTCAGCAAGAACAGGCAGTTCCTTCAGCAGATCAGCGTCGACTGTGATCAGCCTGACGCCTGGAATGGAGAGCCGATCTCGCTGCTTCTCATCCACCAGAATTGTGTCGATTTCGGTATCATGAACCATGCCTTTTATACGTGCTTCTGGATGATTAACACCGAGAGGTACCACTACTGCACCAGCCTTCAGCACGGCAAGCATTGAGATTCCTGCCCATTTGGATTTGTCCATGCAAACGCCAACCATCCGCTGTGACCGTGTTCCAGGGCGTGTCAAGTATCGGGCTAACCATGTAGTTTGTATATCAAGCTCGTTATACGTGAGATTACCATCCCACGCACAAATAGCTGTAGCATTAGGGCGAACTTTAGCTTGCTCTTGTACCAGTTCGTGTATACATCGTTCGATTCGAACAGGGGAGGTCTTCGACCAGTTCAAGATAGCTTCCTCATCGTATGCACTCAGGCAACATATCTCCTCGAGGCGATGTACACCGTTACGAACATCAAATAACTGCCTCACAACATGCTCGAATGTCCTGATTGTCCTCTTAAGCTGTGGAGTGGCGATAACTTTTTCGTCGTAGCGGGCTTCAACCTTTATTAATCCAGATAGATGGGAGCACTCCACTGTGAGTCCGTAGCTGTCGAAACCTTCTAGGTCGACCGGCATTGGGTCCAGCCCTGGAAAAGTGGTGCTGTCTATATCGGAAGTGGGCTGAATGACAAGTAGGTTTCGTAGCTCTAGACTTGAACCAAGCTCTGGAACGAGCTTCTTGATTACTTGCAAGCCTGAGTGTTCGTAATTGATCATATCCGCTGCCTGCTGCTGTACGTTCTGGAGGAATTGGTTGACAGTGAGAGGCTGTGCACCGTCTAAATGGATTCTTACGGGTACAGTGGTAATCGTTGGTCCCGTCATTTCCGCTATTTGCCAGACCGGCGCATTGCGCCCTGACAGAGTAACTCCGAAGACTACATCACCTTGACCAGTATACTTGCCCATTGTCAGGGCCCATGCAGCTCGAAGCACGTTCGGCAAATCTGAGTTTTCTCGATTGTGCATTGCGAGATCCGACAGAGTAATATCGTATGTATAACGCTGCGGCGGCTTCGGTTGATAATCAGCACGCGGTAATGACGGCCAATTTGCCAAAACATCTCCTTGAAGCTGATTTAGCCAATATCTTCTACTTGCGTCGTCATCATGGCGGGTGAGATAACGGATGAAGCGAGAGTATGGTACTGTGGAAGGCATCCGCTGGTCAAAGTAGATATCATAAAGACGCCGAAACATCAGCGACACGCTCCAGCCATCGTACACGCTGTGGTGGGCGGTCCAGATAAAGAAACCCTCGCCAGTGTTCTGGACAAGGCCAAATCGCACCAACGGCTGGCCAAGCTTCATACCAGCATCTTTATCTTCAGCAACATAGTCACTCAAGTCTGCACCGGACTGCCATGAGATACTACCACGCACAACGACTTGCAGTGATACATCACTAGTATCCACGCCTGCCAGAATCCGAGTGCGGAGGATGGGGGTTGCTTGAGCCAAGGTTTGCCATGCTTCCTGGAAGCGAGCGATATCAAGAGTAGGCGCTAGTTTGTAGACCTGACGGCTCACATATGCTGTTGGCTGATGTGCAGTAATCGCAATTAGGCCTTCCTGCAGAGAGGTGCAAGGGTAGATGTCTTCAATGTCCTCCACTTTAATGTTGCACCGTGTAGCGATGATTGCAAGGGCTTGTGCTCGCTTACTCGTATCACGGTCATAGATTCCAGACTTCTCCCACAGATCAAGCGGAGCCGCATCTTCTTCTTCAACTCCATCGTCAACCATGCGTCCATCAATCACGCGGGCCAAATCCGATAATCGTGGGTGCTGAAAAACGTCCGCAACGGTCAGCCGTAAGTAGCGAGAATCCTTCAACGCCACCATCCGCATTGCCGCAATAGAATCACCGCCTATGCGAAAAAAGTTGTCGCTTTTTCCTATATCCTGAGGATTTATAGCCAGCACCTCTGACCACAGACTCTGGACCTGCTGCTCTGAGGCGGTAGACGGGGCCGTCTTTGGTCCCTCGTCGGACATGTAGAGTTGTAATTCGTTGAATGGCATCGCATCTAGCTGTGTCCGCAAGGCCCGTCGGTCAAGTTTGCCAGATGCATTCATCGGTATATTAGACATAGGCACATACAATGCGGGAATCATATAAGCAGGGAGCACCTGAGATAGTGCCAGCTGCAAGCCCTGGAAGACTTCACGTAGCACATCTGCTGAAGCTACCGTTCCTATCGTTGTTGTCGTTGTGTTGAAAGCAGCTGGAGTGGTATATTCGGAATCCATGGCAAAATTCATCACCGCCACAAGGCTGGTCTGCGCGCCTCGTCGTAACAACTCGACGGCCACAGTTCGAATCTCCGGGAGGTGGCGCACGATTTGATACTCAATCTCAGAAATTTCCACCCTCTGTCCGCGAATCTTGACCTGTGTACTATCGCATCGACCCAAGTACATGAGTGATCCATCTTGATTTTGACGGACCAGATCACCAGTGCGATACATACGACGTCCAGGCCCTAGGTCCAGCTGCTTCGTAAAGTCAGGGTCGATGATGAATGCTGCTTGCGTCTTCTTCTCATCGTTCAGGTACCCTCTTGCTAGAAGTGGACCTTCGATAAGGAGCTCGCCGGGTGCCCCAATTGGACATAGCTGATGGTAGTTGCCTGCCTGCACGACCCAGAACAGTGACTTCATTGGTCTTCCAATATTTTGTGCCTCCTCAATATTAAATAATCGCCTACTGTTAGACGCCACTATGGAGCATTCTGTTGGCCCGTATGAGTTAAACACACTAGATCGCCTTCCCCAGGTGGACAGAACTGAAGGCTTTAGGGGCTCACCACTCAGGAGCAAAGTGGATAATGAGGGGACTTGGGATGGAGTTATTGTCTCCGTCACTGTCGACGTGAGTTCAGCATAATTGACGTCCATTCGACTCGCGGCCTCTGCCAATGAGTTCATGCGCTCATCTTCAGATGGCATGCAGACGCATCCACCAGCTTGGAGGGTGCTAAAGATGTCACAGATACTGACATCGAACGTGAAAGCAGCAAATTGGAAAGTTCGGGTGTAGTTGTTGATTCCCACAGACTTTGCGTGACCTGTCAGACTAGTACAGAGTGATGCGTGTTGCAATACCACTCCTTTGGGGGTTCCAGTGCTTCCTGAGGTGTAAAGAATCCAGGCAGCATTATCAGGCGTTACTCCAGTCTCAGGGGGGTTCTCTTCAGAGGGCAACCCTTCAATGAGTGTCGAATCTACAACGATCAGGGTTGCCGCCAGCGCCCCCAATTCAGTTCGCTGCTGCTCATCAACCAAAACGATCCTAGTCTTAGTTTCTTGAACAATGCTACTCGTCCTAGCAAAAGGGTGTGTTACGCCCAATGGCAGGACCGAGCCACCTGCATATAAAATAGCTAGCATAGCGACAATGCTGAATCTAGATTTGCTCATACAAAGACCGACAGATTGTTCAGGTCCCACCTGGAGGCGAACTAGGTGGTGGGCTAAGCGTATACTTTCGCTCGCTAAGTCCGCATACGTATATTCTCCGTCCCACGCATCGACTGCGCTCGTAGCTGGTTGTGCATTGACCTGATCTTGTACCAAATGGTGAATACACCTGTTCACACCCGGAGGAACAAACTCATTCCAGTCAAGGATCTGTCGTTGATCTGATGTCTTGATCATAGCTACCTCGTGAACTAAGAGTTTGCCGACCGATGGACTGCACAATCGTTGGACTGTGGATGAGAATTGTTCCATAACATGTTGTAATTGCATATTGTCGAGGACTTGGTCGTCGTAGTTGACATGAACTTCAATTGCCTGGCTGCCGAGTATGCATTCTACATTGAGACTGTAGCTATCAAAGCCATCCATCGCCACCGGTATCGCTTCAAGCCCAGGGAACTCCTTATAAGCATCACTCTCGGCTCCAGGTTGTATGATGAGCAAATTCTGTAGCTCTAGCGCATTGCTAAATTCAGGAAGTAACCTTTTAATCGTTTGAAGCCCAGTGTGCTCGTATTCGATCATCTTGACCGCTTGGCTCTGAACCTGTAATAAAAACTCTGCAACAGTCATAGTGCGGTCTATGCATATTCGGACAGGGACAGTAGTAATGGTAAGAGCGATAATGTCTCCTATTTGTGATATTGGTGCATTTCTGCCTGATACGGTAACTGCAAATATCACATCGTCGTTCCCAGAATATTGTGCCACAACCAGAGCCCAAGCCGCTCGCAGGACATTAGACATCATGATCGTTCCAGAATCATAACCTTCGGGAAGATTGATACTGCTTCGATATACATGTTTCGGGTGTGGCTGATAGTTTGCACTCGGTAATGGGGGCCAGTCGGCCATTGCATCGCCATGAAGCTGGTCGCGCCAGTAACCTGCTGCAACTGTAAAATCTTGGTCGGCAAGGTAACGAAGGAACCGGGAGTAAGGTATCTGACGAGGAACGCAACTTTGCTGGTAAATGGCTGCAAGTTGTCGGTAAAGCAATAAGGCGCTCCACCCATCGTAAATACTGTGATGTGCTGTCCAGACAAAGATGCATCGTCCGGATTCCTCTTCAATCTGACCAAACCGTGCCAGCGGCTGGCCGAGCGTCATTCCCTCGGCACGATCCTGTGCTAGATAGCTCTTCAAACTCGATCCTCGCCGCCATAACAAGCGTTCGCGGATCACCACCTGCAGTGATTGACCCCCAGGCCCCATGACTACGCGGGTTCGTAGACTGGCCACTGTTGCAACCAGCGTCTCCCATGCAGCCCAAAATCGTTCCAAGTCGATGTCTTCCGTAAGAGAGAATGCGCGGCGCTCCATATACGCTGCCGGCTGTCGTGTCGTTATGGCTATCAAACCTTCCTGCAAAGGTGTACAGGGGTAAACATCCTCAATCTGCTCAGCTTCAACATCGCACAACAGCGCAATCTCCTCCAGCCGCCGCCGTTGTTCGGTCAAATCTGAATCTCGATGAGAGGCCCACAGCGCGAATGGCGCAGGGTCAATGTCTTCCTGGTCACCGTTGTTGAAAATACTCGCTTCACCGTTGCTATCCTCTGCGGAAGGCCGATGTCGTGCGGTAGAGAACAGCTCTAAAATGCTCTCTGTGCTGATAACATCAGCAGTCTTCAACTCTATTCCCCGCTCCTCGCATGCCGTTACAAGCCTGATGGCTGATATAGAATCGCCTCCTAAAGAAACAAAAGAGTAAGTATCATCTAACTCCTCAATATTAATTTTCAAAACCTTTGCACAGATGATGCTGAACTCCTCCTTGAAGTCGCTTGTTGTATGGACCTTCGAGGACGACGTGTCGAATTCGAGCAATGTCCCATTTCCATTGATGTGCGTCTCATTTCCATTGGCATGAATGCCATTTCCGTTGATATGCGTGCCATTTGTATTAATGTGTGTCTCCTTTCCATTGACATGAACGCCATTTCCGTTGATATGCGTGCCGTTTCTATGGATGTGCGCTTCGCTGCCATTGACATGAATGCCATTTCCGTTGATATGCGTGCTGTTTCCATTGACATGATTGCCATTGCTGTTCGATTCGCGAAAAATTTGTTTTGAACTTCCAGTCTGAAGTGCCCCGTTCCCATCCATCTTCTCTGAGTTTCCCACGCAATCCGATGTAGTCATAGTTGTACAAGAAAAATCCCTAATCATTTAGCAGAATCTGAAGGTCTCGGAAGTCAGTGTCTCTTTACCTCTGTCTCTGGGCGTTGGCAAGTTTTTGCGATTGAAGTACAAGTAAGGTGAATTTCTGTTACCAAAATTTCCTAAATGCTGCAAAATAGTATCCCTAGCTTTGCATACCTACCCTAGTGCCAGGGCAACATGTTATTATGTATGAAGACTTCGGGCCTGCTTGCCGGATACAGTATACCTACGCCACAGCCACTATGATTATAGTATGACCAAGATCTGAAAAGTGTAGGTCAGCTCAATATTGTCCGATAGGGCCAACCGGTGCCTGGCACTGTGGGCCGTCTACTTTCATACCGAGTCTAAATAGACACTTTTATGTAGCTTCATTGCCATCCTGGATTGGTGCTTGATGTTATAAGCCGCAGTATGAAGAGCATCTTTCCGAATTCCATCATCCAGAAGACGCGTTTTCTCGGAAATTTTTTGAGGAAGCTCCCTTGACATTAGACATGGAGAGCAGGAAGAAATGGATTCGCGCCGCATTCGGGCAGGCATGCAACGTCGTCGCGTCATAGTCGGATATCAACTATAGATCCCACGTTGATAATATAAATAAGCAGCTGCCCTCTGCCCTTCACTAAGTCACCTTTCTCATCTCGGTACTGGTGCAATCGGTTGCTTACCTTTGGTTGTAGTGACCGAGGACGATTGTCGTGGTATTGCGAGCATTGTTAGAACTTAGTCAGCTGCGTTTTTCGAACTTTAGCCTACACTTGTCGGAGTTGGCACTTAGTCACCCGAGTCACGTGAATATGCCTTTGACGGATGCATTATGAGAATAAGGAGGAGCGTTTGCTAGGTTAGGCTCGGCGTAAGCTTGCTCTATATAACTATCTACAGGACGTTAAGAGCGCTCTGGACTCGGAGGTGGTTAAGGTTATAAATATTACTATGAGCCTCAGGCTAGACCTACCTCGGGTAGTAGTAAGAGAGTATATATAGTAGATATAATAAGCTATTCAAGTTATAAAATGTTGAACTAGCTAAACATTAGCCTACAACTCTAAGTTAGTTATAAGCTTAACTAAATTATACCTTCATATATTTAAGATCTTTCTACTTTAAAAATAAAATAAATAAATATATATAATTACTTTATATTTCTATTGTAACTTGAATAGTTTAACTTAAATTACTATTATTACTTGTTTTGTGTCTTATCTATGTATTCCTTGCTATATACTATTATCCAGTTAAAATACCTTGACTTATCGTTTACCGCAATATAGAGCTGCAGTTCGCTCCAAAGGAAATTTAGTCAAATGATAGCCTTCAGCTCTGTAACAGGATCCTATACTAACAATGCTTAGAGAATGCTCATGGCAACGTATATATGCCCCTACCATGGAATTCAAGTGGGGAAATGCTAATAGGGTTATGCTATTTAAGAGATCAACCTTTATTGAATCCTAGTTTCAAATATGAGTTAAATCATTGGAGATTCCCAATCTTGATTATGACTGTCCCTCGAGATACAGTCAGCATTGTATGAGTGCCATGGTTCAAGGATCCCGATCGATTTATGCACAAGGGTTACCGTGCCATGTTACAGTATCACTGCAGGATCTCACGCCTGTTGCCAAGTTGTTTCCAATCTGACTGGCAAGGAACTAGCTATCTACATATCTTTTGCGCCCTTCACTGTGATTGGTGTGCGTAACAAAGCATCCATAGACTACGAGTACGTCCAAGCTGTTCAGTCCAAAGCGGATTTCGGTATCATATAACAATCACGCCCTGCTAATGTTTTTCCCCACATTCTTCTCATTCTCTGTGATCAATCTTGTCCCAACACTCCACATAGCAATCCCGAAAGATGGGTGATATCAATGGTAGCGTTGACCCACCAAACATGGCGTACGAGCCTCTCGCTATTGTCGGCATGGGGATGAGACTGCCAGGTGGAATCCACACAGCTGAAGACTTGTGGAGTTTGTTGGTCGAAAAAAGATCAACGCGATGCAAAGTTCCCAGTGATAGATTTAATATTTCAGCTTTTTACAGTCCATCGGGGAGAGTTGGATCGGTAAAAATGCAACATGGCCACTTCTTAGCGGCAACCGATGATCTACAACACCTGGACACCACCTTTTTCTCTATGAGTAGAAAAGAGGTGGAAATTTTGGATCCTCAGCAACGGATGCTGTTAGAAGTCGTGTACGAGTGCATGCAAAATGCAGGGCAATCAAACTGGAGAGGGGGGAATATAGGATGCTACGTGGGAGTTTGGGGAGAAGTATATATTACCATTATAGATTACACTACAATTCTGACTAGATCTACAGGACTGGGTGGATATTCATGCAAAGGATAGTCAAGATGCGGTATGTATATTCCATAAGCAATTGAAATCTTTCAGAAGCTGATATTGGTAGGGGATGTATCGTATAGCTGGGGGGCAAGATTTTGCTATTTCCAATAGAATAAGCTATGAATACGATCTGAAAGGCCCTTCATTCACGATCAAAAGTGGATGCTCGTCATCTATGATTGGACTGCACGAAGCTGCCAGAGCCATCCACGCTGGTGATTGCACGAGTGCTATAATTGCAGGAACAAACCTGATTATATCGCCAACCATGTCAATCGCCATGACAGAGCAAGGTGTCCTTGCTCCCGATGGTAATTGCAAATCCTTTGATATATCGGCCGATGGTTATGCTAGAGGAGAAGCTATAAATGCGATTTATATCAAACGACTAAGCGACGCCATCCGGGATGGTGATAATATTCGGAGCATAATTCGAGCTACGGCAAGCAATTGTGATGGAAAGACACCCGGTATGACTTTGCCAAGTTCGGAAAGTCATGAGTCTATGATGCGAAGAGCCTACAAAGAAGCGTGTCTTGACCCTACCCAGACAGCATTTGTGGAGGCACATGGAACAGGCACAAACATCGGTGACCCGCTAGAAGCCACTGCTATCGCTAGAGTCTTTGGTGGTGAGAAGGGTGTTTATATCGGGAGTGTCAAGCCAAACCTTGGCCATAGCGAAGGCGCCTCCGGAGTGACCTCGATTCTGAAGACTGTGATAGCTCTTGAGAACAGCATCATCCCGCCAAATATCAACTTTTCGACTCCTAATCCAAAAATTCCCTTTGAGATGGCAAATATGAAGGTGCCCATTGAACCAACACCGTGGCCAAAGCGTCAAGCCGTGAGAGCTAGTGTCAATTCCTTCGGTATCGGGGGAGCAAATGCACATGTCATCCTCGATAGCCCTGCGTCCATGGGTATTAGTAATACGAAAACACACATCACAAACGGCCATCGCAATGGACACTCAACCAACGGACACTCAACCAATGGACACTCAACCAATGGACACTCAACCAANGGACACTCAACCAATGGACACTCAACCAATGGACACTCAACCAACGGACACTCAACCAATGGACACTCAATCAATGGGCACTCAATTAACGGCCACTCCAAAACTAGACCGGCTCTGTTAGTGCTTTCCGCAACCAATACAGACTCTTTGAGAGCAAACGTAGTAAAGCACCAGCAATATGTTGAGACAAACCCTGAGAAGCTGAAAGATATCGAGTACAACTTATGCAACCGCAGAGAGCACTTATCAAATCGTGCATTTTGTGTCACAGATGGATTATCAACCCTGGAATTTTCGCCTCTTAATAAGCCAAAGAAGACACCAGCAGTGGTAATGGTATTTACTGGCCAGGGAGCCCAGTGGGCTGAGATGGGAAAAGAACTTATAGCGGACTTTGAATCTTTTAGCGAAGACATTGACTCCATGAACAATACTCTTTCGAAACTGAACCATCCGCCATCATGGAACATCAAGGAAGAGTTAATGAAGCATGATTCGCTAAGTTACCTCAGCAAAGCAGAATATGCCCAGCCACTGGTTACTGCAGTCCAGGTAGCTCTTGTCAACCTTCTAAACCGATTTGGTGTTAAATCAGCGGCTGTAGTTGGCCACTCTAGTGGTGAAATTGGCGCTGCATATGCTGCAAACGCAATTACGGCAAGTGAAGCAATTATTATTGCCTATTACCGAGGCCATGTTACGAAAGGCTTTTCCCGACGTGGTGGAATGGCGGCAGTAGGTCTGGGACGAGAAGATGTTCTCCCCTATCTGACCACGGGTGTTGTAATTGCCTGTGAGAATAGTCCGAGCAGTGTGACACTTTCTGGCGATGAAGATGCACTGAACGCTACTTGCCAAAATATCAAGACTGCTCTCCCAGATATCTTCTTACGGCCTCTGAAGGTTGAAATGGCATATCATTCACGTAAGTTTGCTATTGAGGCAAATGCCTATACCCTATTTGTGTTTTGTGCTTATTCTAGAAACTATAGATCACATGAGGGAGTTAGGAGAAGAATACGAAGCTTTGCTTCAACCCCACTTGAAGAGCACGGCCCCAGATGTACCATTTTTCTCTAGCGTCGTTGGAAAAGTCCTTACAAAATCTGGAGCATTCGATTCTGCATACTGGAGGGCAAACTTGGAGAGCCCAGTTCTCTTCAATTCGGCTATCAAGCTCATACTCGATAGTCAGGCTCAAGACTACTTGTTCTTAGAGATTGGTCCCCACTCAGCCCTAGCCGGGCCTATTAGACAGATTCTGAAGGCGAACTCAAGAAAGAATGATACGTACGTTACGGCCCTGGAACGGGGGAAGGACTGTGGCGAAAGCGTGCTCAAGATGGTTGGCGAGTTGTACCTTCAAAATATACCCATCAACTTTAGGGAAGTTGCACCCTCTGGGACCGTCTTGACCAATCTGCCACTATATCAATGGTGCCACGATCAGGAGTATTGGAATGAGAGCAGAGTGAGCAGAGAATGGAGACTTCGGAAACATCCCCAGCATGAAATCCTCGGATCTCGTACGGTGGAAGGGAATGACCTTCAACCGGAGTGGAGAAATTTACTACGTCTCGACAACGTTCCTTG